CATACACACATACAGACACACACACAAACATACACACAGACAGACAGACACACACATACATCCCTCGACAGACACATACATACAGACACACACGCATAATTACACACAGACACATACATACAGAGACACAGGCACACACACACATAGACACACACACATACAGAGACACACACACGTACATACAGAGACACACACACAGACATACAGACACACATACAGAGACACAGACACGCGTGGGCCGGGGCCCCAAAATGTGGCAGCAGGCCTGGTACCCAGTTGCAGGGGTCCGCAGGGCGGCTGGGCCCCCTGGAGTGCCGTGCCCGGTCGCAGCTGCGACCCCTGCGACCGTGCTATGTACGCCGCTGTGGGAGGTGTAGTAAGGTTGCCTACCCATGGAATACACATGGTGCTACTTAGACAGGTGTTCCTCTCCCTTGGGGGGTAATTTTATGAGGGGCGTCCATTGTGTCCATAAATCTGTATATTTCAGGCTGTTTGTGTTATATTTACTCTAGAGAACGACGACGTATGTGCTCTATCCAAATGTTTTGTTAACAAGAGTGATATGAACAAAATGGCGTAGCTTATTGGCTTGTTTTGGTGGGGCTGAGGGTTGTTTTCATCAAGAATAGCAAGGGGTTATGGGAAGAGGACCTGATGGGGAACTGTACGTGCTGTTAATACACTGTCGTATGCTATAGATTCTCTGTTGGTATAAATACATCTGCGCAGCTGCAATAAAGTTAGTTCTGTTTAACCCTACGTTTAGTCTCAACTCGTGGTGTGGGGTAAAGGCTATAATCACTGCTATAATCACTTGCTACATTTCACTTCCAAATGGTCAGATTACGTTGAGATGGTCATCTGAGCCTTCCTTATGGCACCAAGCACTTGAACTCACCAAGGCGCTAACGGATGGTCCGGTAATAGCAGAGAAAGCCTAGAAATAAAGGAGATACTCATCCAGAGTAACCCCAGGCCATTACAAACAAAATGTTTTAATGACACTTCTTTCACATTCTTGTCTATATTCATTTTTACACATCTAGTATAACTAAAGAAATTGAACTCAACCACTCTACCAGTCCTGACTGTTAAATATCTCATATTTTTCGTAGTTAATGTTAACCCTTTACACCCCCTCCCCCCATGAGTGCTACACTAGCCCTAGCCCTATGCTTACACTAATCCTTACTGTATACCTTTAACACTAAACTATCCATAACCTTAAAACAGCATTGACCAAAACTCAGCATTAACCCTTACCCTACCTAACACTAACCCTACAGCTAACCCCAACCCTACCACTAGCTACCCTACTCCTCTAAATCTATCCCTAACCTTACCATAAACCTAACCCCACCACTAACCCTTAGAAAACCCTCTGCTAACATCAATTCTAGTTAAAACAGTAGATAGTGGTCTGTAACTGCCATCTACTGGCTATTTTCATAATTACAGTCAGTGTAATTAATTGAATGGAGCCTGCTTGACTGTGATCTGTGCTGGGCAGCTGGCAAAGCCCAGCACCAATCAAAATCAACTGGGGACAGGCAGGGAGATGAGCATGAAGCTCATGAGTCAGTCTGGGGCCACTAAAAATGGCCCCAGCTGGCAGAAGGGAGCCCCAGGTATACATTGATGCCTGTGTTTCCTGGTGTGAGTAGGGATTTAACTCTGCTCACACCGCAATCTTTTCATAGGCATTTAAATGCCTATTTAAAGAGCTGCTTGCAGCTGACTTCCAGTGCGCCATACAGCTCATCAAAAAGTCTGGGGCGCCTCAAAATGGCCTCAGCTGACAGAATGGAGCCCCAGGTATCGATTGATACATGCAATCTATTCATAGAGCTACTTGGTGCAGACTTTTAGGTCTGCATGCAGATCATCAAAAAGTCTGGGGCCACTTAAAATGGCCTCAGCTGACATAGGGGATCTCCAGATGTCGAATGATACCTAGGACTCCCTGGTGTGAGCAGGGATTTAACCATGTTCACAAAAAACTGCAGGACATGTCAATAATACCCAAGATCTTTAAAGCCCATTATAGCTGGGACATACAGTAACATCCTAAAGTCGTAAAAGAAAATGCTGTCATATGTTTGCTATCAAATTTACCAGTATAAATAATAGACAGGTTTTTTTTTTACCTGAAAGTCCTACTAAGTCCTTATTTATATTGTATAGCAGGCGTTCATAAACAGAAAAAAATTTTGTTGACTACAATAAGCTGGGTAGTCATATCTTAGAGGCAGCTATTTGAAGACTGATTCTTTAGCTCCCTTGGGACAGTGCATCTTAAATCTGTTGCTAAAACTTGCAGTTCTGCTACCTAGAAGGTATCTGTCACTGGCTTTTACTTCCTTTTACTCTCTATATGTTAATCTAATTTCAAGTCTAGAAATCTGGAATCTGGCCTCAAACGCAGGTCTGTCTTTTCTGTATAATAACATTCCCATTAAAATAATATACTTGTTAAATTGTTTAATTCGATGTTCGTTTGGGTGTCTGTTTGTGAGGAGATGAGGAAATGATGTTACACACCCGGTACAGAAAATAACATCCAGTTTTGAAAAAACATATCCTGAAATCTGTTGGGCATGTAAAATTTACATTACATCCTCAATTATCCATATAACTATTAATCTTCCTCAATTATCCATTGATCAACAATTTTGGTTATTGTATAATTCATAACACACCCCCTGCACACACACAAAAACACAGAAAAAAGATAGTCCCTCCATGAAATCAGAAAACCATTTGGCTCATTCATTTAACTATAAATGTACCACAAATTGCACGAATTGTCAAAAAGATAAGATCCTGAATAATATCACTTGCTATGCAGCATTCACTAATAGTGATGTCCCGAAAGGTTCGCCGAACGGTTCACGAACGGTTCGCCACGGACTCATCATTGAGTAAACTTTGACCTTGTACCTCACAGTCAGCAGACACATTCCAGCCAATCAGCAGCAGACCCTCCCTCCCAGACCCTCCCACCTCCATGTACATAATATCTAAAATACATTTAGAATCAAATTTATATACTGTATTTAGTTATTTCTAATATCAAAATACACTTAGAATGAAATGTGTATATATATATTTTATTCTAAGTGTATTTTAATATCAGTATATATCTAATTATACGTTAATATCAATATACACTTAGATTGAACTTATATTGAGTAATGCTTTCCTATGGGCGGTTTGAATGCACGCATGGCTCTTAATGCGCATGCGCATTCGGCGCTGACGTCGGCAGGAGGAGTAGAGTTCCCCAGCACAGAGGGAGCCCGGCGCTGGAGAAAGGTAAGTGGCTGAAGGGGTTTAAACCCCTTCAGCCAAGCGGGAGTGGGACCCTGAGGGTGAGGGGGACCTAAAGACCCTATAGTACCAGGAAAACAAGTTTGTTTTCCTGGCACTATAGTGGTCCTTTAAATACTGTTACGCACATTCGCAGAAGTCGAATCACAGACTTTCGATATTACCATTTTTTATCTTCTCTTAGCTTGAATACTTCCTTTCCCATTACGAAGTCTTGGGAAGTTTCGTTATCCCACAGAGGAAGGATGTGTACGTCGATTATCCTGTTTCCTGTTGTGTTCTGTTCTACGTTTGCGGTTCTGCTGGTCTTGGGATCGCTACAGAAAGAGGAGGAGTTTAGGAGTGCAACACCTGATATACTATATGTGGTGTGGTGGTTGGTTGCACTGTTACTATGCAATCGTATGTTTTATTCTTATTCTCTTTGTATATATTTCTCTTTGCTGCTAAGGGAAATTAAAGGAAAGAGAAAGCATAATACCCACCACCGTGTCATTAATAAAATCATGACTTTACGTCATGTTAATAGTAAAATCTGGGAATTATTAAGGCGTGCTATGCCCCTCTAGCAGAGGTTAAAACCCTCCATTTGTAGGATGGCATAGCATACCCTAATGTCGGGAAGGGGTTAAAGCAAGGTCCTGTTTCAGTTGCCAATCACGTTTCCTTACAATCCATCAGTAAAATCAATCCCACTGTTGACAGGTTTCTCCTGACAGCAACCAAATTTCAAGACAAGAGATTCCAACAAAATGTTGTTTACTGGACACTGATCAGAGGGGAGACATTCTAAACAGAATTCTGACAAGACAATTATATAGCAAAAACCACAAGCATTGCCCAGAAAGGCATGCCCGTTTATATCATGTCATGATTCTTTGATCCCTATTAGTGATGTCCCGAACGGTTCGCCACGGACTCATCATTGAGTAAACTTTGACCTTGTACCTCACAGTCAGCAGACACATTCCACCCAATCAGCAGCAGACCCTCCCTCCCAGATCCTCCCACCTCCCACCTTTCTGAGAAATTATGGTGACTTAATGTAGTTTAAAGACCATTACTGGGAGTACTATTGCTGTAGAGCTCTGTTTATACACTCGCACACACCAACAAAATGGAGCTTGAAGAAAAGAGGGTCATTACAACCGAGAAGAGGGACAGAGGGATTTGGGCCCAAAATAGGGACTGTCCCTCCTAAATAGGGACACTTGATGATATATTATTGGATATCCTCACTATTTTATGACATAAGCCATGGCCAGTGGGGTGATTGATGGCCTAAGGTGTTTTTCATAACAGCTCTAGCTTACAGACTGGCAATAAATTAATGGAGATGTAATTATGTAATAGCTCTGGGGTCTATATTTGGCCACCACTGCATAATGCACTGTAGACCGTAAGGGTTTGTTTAAAAAAAATAAAGTAAAATACAAGAGATGATGTAGAAACACAGATATGAATATAACTAAATAAAAAATATAAAAAAAACAACAACAACAACACCAAACATTTAATTCTAGCATAAACACCTAGAAACATCTATACTGTATCCAGCTAAGATTCAGGTCCCATTGGACCACAAGAAAAGAAAACTACAACTCCCGGCATTCAATGCGGCGACGCGTAGTGCGTGCCCACGGACGTGCCGCTCAGCCAATAGGATTCGAGAGGTAGCATCATGGCGGACTGCTGTTTGAGGATTTAAGTGCGGTGTAATCAAAGAAAGGTTAGTGGGATAGAGGGAAACGTGAAGGACTGAGTCCTCTTCATATAATATGTATCAGTGTTTATATTAGCTGTATATAGCTGTATGTGGCTGTGAGGGAGTTTAATTTACCAGAGTAGCTTTATCCACCATACCTGGTACTGTATCCAGCCATAACAATGTCCATAGCAATGCATGGCTCTCTATGGAGTATGGGGAACATCACACTAAATACACAATATATTTATACTCTGTATACTATATACACAATATATTTATACTATGTATACTGTATACACAATATATTAATACTCTGTATACTGTATACACAATATATTAATACTCTGTATACTGTATACACAATATATTTATACTCTGTATACTATATACACAATATATTTATACTCTGTATACTATATACACAATATATTTATACTATGTATACTGTATACACAATATATTAATACTCTGTATACTGTATACACAATATATTTATACTCTGTATACTATATACACAATATATTTATACTCTGTATACTGTATACACAATATATTTATATTCTGTATACTATATACACAATATATTAATACTCTGTATACTGTATACACAATATATTTATACTCTGTATACTATATACACAATATATTAATACTCTGTATACTATATACACAATATATTTATACTCTGTATACTGTATACACAATATATTAATACTCTGTATACTGCATACACAATATATTTATACTCTGTATACTATATACACAATATATTAATACTCTGTATACTAAATACACAATATATTTATACTCTGTATACTGTATACACAATATATTAATACTCTGTATACTGTATACACAATATATTTATGCTCTGTATACTCTATACACAATATATTAATACTCTGTATACTATATACACAATATATTAATACTCTGTATACTGTATACACAATATATTAATACTCTGTATACTATATACACAATATATTAATACTCTGTATACTGTATACACAATATATTTATACTCTGTATACTGTATACACACAATATATTAATACTCTGTATACTGTATACACAATATATTAATACTCTGTATACTATATACACAATATATTTATACTCTGTATACTGTATACACACAATATATTTATACTCTGTATACTATATACACAATATATTTATACTATGTATACTGTATACACAATATATTTATACTCTGTATACTATATACACAATATATTAATACTCTGTATACTATATACACAATATATTTATACTCTGTATACTATATACACAATATATTTATACTCTGTATACTATATACACAATATATTAATACTCTGTATACTATATACACAATATATTTATACTCTGTATACTATATACACAATATATTTATACTATGTATACTGTATACACAATATATTTATACTCTGTATACTGTATACACACAATATATTTATACTCTGTATACTATATACACAATATATTTATACTCTGTATACTGTATACACAATATATTTATACTCTGTATACTATATACACAATATATTTATACTATGTATACTGTATACACACAATATATTTATACTCTGTATACTATATACACAATATATTAATACTCTGTATACTGTATACACAATATATTAATACTCTGTATACTGCATACACAATATATTTATACTATGTATACTGTATACACAATATATTTATACTCTGTATACTATATACACAATATATTAATACTCTGTATACTGTATACACAATATATTTATACTCTGTATACTGCATACACAATATATTTATACTATGTATACTGTATACACAATATATTTATACTCTTTATACTATATACACAATATATTAATACTCTGTATACTATATACACAATATATTTATACTCTGTATACTGTATACACAATATATTAATACTCTGTATACTGTATACACACAATATATTTATACTCTGTATACTGTATACACAATATATTTATACTCTGTATACTGCATACACAATATATTTATACTATGTATACTGTATACACAATATATTTATACTCTGTATACTCTATACACAATATATTTATACTCTGTATACTGTATACACAATATATTTATACTCTCTATACTGTATACACAATATATTAATACTCTGTATACTATATACACAATATATTAATACTCTGTATACTGTATACACAATATATTTATACTCTGTATACTGTATACACAATATATTAATACTCTGTATACTATATACACAATATATTTATACTCTGTATACTATATACACAATATATTTATACTCTGTATACTGCATACACAATATATTTATACTCTGTATACTATACACACAATATATTTATACCCTGTATACTATATACACAATATATTAATACTCTGTATACTATATACACAATATATTTATACTCTGTATACTATACACACAATATATTAATACTCTGTATACTATATACACAATATATTTATACTCTGTATACTGCATACACAATATATTAATACTCTGTATACTGTATACACAATATATTTATACTCTGTATACTATATACACAATATATTTATACTCTGTATACTGCATACACAATATATTTATACTCTGTATACTATACACACAATATATTTATACCCTGTATACTATATACACAATATATTAATACTCTGTATACTATATACACAATATATTTATACTCTGTATACTGCATACACAATATATTAATACTCTGTATACTGTATACACAATATATTTATACTCTGTATACTATACACACAATATATTAATACTCTGTATACTATATACACAATATATTTATACTCTGTATACTCTATACACAATATATTTATACCCTGTATACCATATACACAATATATTTATACTCTGTATACTATATACACAATATATTTATACTCTGTATACAGCCATACAGTGTCCATAGCAATGCATGGCTCTCTATGGAGTATGGGAAACATCACACTAAACACAGCTATCCTCTGAATGGCCTGCCTTACTGTAACAATACATTATACACATAAACATAATACAATATCAAGCTACTGGGATACCAAACACTGCACTGTTATTATACCCCCCCCCCCCACACACACACACAATCTGTATACTATATACACAATATATTAATACTCTGTATACTAAATACACAATATATTTATACTCTGTATACACACAATATATTTATACTCTGTATACTGTATACACAATATATTTATACTCTGTATACTGTATACACAATATATTTATACAATGTATACTATATACACAATATATTTATACTCTGTATACTATATACACAATATATTAATACTCTGTATACTAAATACACAATATATTAATACTCTGTATACTATATACACAATATATTTATACTCTGTATACACAATATATTTATACTCTGTATACTGTATACACAATATATTAATACTCTGTATACTATATACACAATATATTTATACTCTGTATACTATATACACAATATATTAATACTCTGTATACTAAATACACAATATATTAATACTCTGTATACTATATACACAATATATTTATACTCTGTATACACAATATATTTATACTCTGTATACTGTATACACAATATATTAATACTCTGTATACTGTATACACAATATATTTATACTCTGTATACTATATACACAATATATTAATAATCTGTATACTATATACACAATATATTTATACTCTGTATACTAAATACACAATATATTAATACTCTGTATACTATATACACAATATATTTATACTCTGTATACACAATATATTTATACTCTGTATACTATATACACAATATATTTATACTCTGTATACACAATATATTTATACTCTGTATACTATATACACAATATATTTATACTATGTATACTGTATACACACAATATATTTATACTCTGTATACTATATACACAATATATTTATACTATGTATACTGTATACACAATATATTTATACTCTGTATACTATATACACAATATATTAATACTCTGTATACTATATACACAATATATTTATACTCTGTATACTATATACACAATATATTAATACTCTGTATACTATATACACAATATATTAATACTCTGTATACTATATACACAATATATTTATACTCTGTATACTATATACACAATATATTAATACTCTGTATACTATATACACAATATATTAATACTCTGTATACTATATACACACAATATATTTATACTCTATATACTATATACTTTTAATATATTATTACTCTGTATACCTATATACAATATATTTATACTCTGTATACTATATACACAATATATTAATACTCTGTATACTATATACACAATATATTAATACTCTGTATACTATATACACAATATATTTATACTCTGTATACTATATACACAATATATTAATACTCTGTATACTAAATACACAATATATTTATACTCTGTATACTATATACACAATATATTAATACTCTGTATACTATATACACAATATATTAATACTATGTATACTGTATACACAATATATTTATACTCTGTATACTATATACACAATATATTAATACTCTGTATACTATATACACAATATATTTATACTCTGTATACACAATATATTTATACTCTGTATACTGTATACACAATATATTTATATTCTGTATACTATATACACAATATATTAATACTCTGTATACTATATACACAATATATTTATACTCTGTATACTATATACACAATATATTTATACTCTGTATACTATATACACAATATATTAATACTCTGTATACTATATACACAATATATTTATACTCTGTATACTATATACACAATATATTAATACTCTGTATACTATATACACAATATATTTATACTCTGTATACTATATACACAATATATTTATACTCTGTATACTATATACACAATATATTAATACTCTGTATACTATATACACAATATATTTATACTCTGTATACACAATATATTTATACAATGTATACTATATACACAATATATTAATACTCTGTATACTATATACACAATATATTTATACTCTGTATACTATATACACAATATATTAATACTCTGTATACTAAATACACAATATATTAATACTCTGTATACTATATACACAATATATTTATACTCTGTATACACAATATATTTATACTCTGTATACTGTATACACAATATATTAATACTCTGTATACTGTATACACAATATATTTATACTCTGTATACTATATACACAATATATTAATAATCTGTATACTATATACACAATATATTTATACTCTGTATACTAAATACACAATATATTAATACTCTGTATACTATATACACAATATATTTATACTCTGTATACACAATATATTTATACTCTGTATACTATATACACAATATATTTATACTCTGTATACACAATATATTTATACTCTGTATACTATATACACAATATATTTATACTATGTATACTGTATACACACAATATATTTATACTCTGTATACTATATACACAATATATTTATACTATGTATACTGTATACACAATATATTTATACTCTGTATACTATATACACAATATATTAATACTCTGTATACTATATACACAATATATTTATACTCTGTATACACAATATATTTATACTCTGTATACTGTATACACACAATATATTTATACTCTGTATACTGTATACACAATATATTAATACTCTGTATACTATATACACAATATATTTATACTCTATACTAAATACACAATATATTAATACTCTGTATACTATATACACAATATATTTATACTCTGTATACTATATACACAATATATTTATCTGTATACTCACAATATATTAATACTCTGTATACTATATACACAATATATTTATACTCTGTATACTATATACACAATATATTAATACTCTGTATACTATATACACAATATATTTATACTCTGTATACTAAATACACAATATATTAATACTCTGTATACTATATACCCAATAAATTTATACTCTGTATACTAAATACACAATATATTAATACTCTGTATACTATATACACAATATATTAATACTCTGTATACTATATACACAATATATTTATACTCTGTATACACAATATATTTATACTCTGTATACTGTATACACACAATATATTTATACTCTGTATACTGTATACACAATATATTAATACTCTGTATACTATATACACAATATATTTATACTCTATACTAAATACACAATATATTAATACTCTGTATACTATATACACAATATATTTATACTCTGTATACTGTATACACACAATATATTTATACTCTATATACTATATGCACAATATATTTATACTCTGATACCGATATTCTGTACATTTACCATTTAAAAACAAACTATTTCTACACAAATCTACCGTTAACTGAACATGTTTATTATTTTATTTTTTGCCAATCTTTATTTTTCTTAACGTAAATGCACAAAATATACATACCTGTCAGAATTTTTTTGTTTTCAAGAATATATGTGTAAAGTGAGAGTATTTGATTAGTGAATGCAGTATGTGTATTTGTGTAGTGTGTGTGTTTGTGTAGTGTAATGCTGAAAATACACAACATTGGCCAGACCGATAATCGGTCGATCCCTAATCTGTATACTTCATACACAATATATTTATACTCTGTATATTTCATTCACAATATATTTATAGTTTACACAATATATTTGTAATCTCTATACTTAATACACAATATATTTATAATCTTTATACTTCATACACAATATATACTGTACACCAGCGGTTCACAAACTGTGTGCCGCGGTGCCCTGGGGCACACAGGGGAGCCACAAGTTATTTTCCCGGTGCCATGATGATAGCACCGGGAACTGTGCTCTCCCCTGCCGGCTCTGCAGGACTGAAGGGGAGATCAGAGATCTCCCTCTCCGGCCCACTAGCACTCTGCTGGCAGGCGGCAGGGGAGGGAGGGAGAGAGGACCCGGGGAGCTCTAACCTGCAGCTCTGCCGGGTTCTCCTCTCGCAAACTCAGAGCGTTGCTGTGGTTACCACAGCAACGTTCCGAATCTTGCGAGAGTGAACTCTAGTAGCTCCTCAGGCTGCTAGAGTTCACTGTCACCACCAGGACCACCAGGGATTGTAGGGAATGTCCCCTCTCCCAGACAAAGATAAGCAGGGGGGGGGGGCGGACATCATATTTATTTTTAATAATAAAAAAAAAGATATTTATTAACTTGCACTCCTACTCCCACAGACCCCACACCACACAATAGCTCCCCATACACACAAACTCCTGACTTAGTAAACAGTCCTGTTTGAATGTGTATTTTATGCAGTTTTATTTTATGGCAATTTCCTAGAACTGGATTTTTTCATGTAGAAAACAAATGCCTCTGGTTGCTGTTGTCTGCCCACTCGATTTTTCCCCCTTGTTTTCTTGTTTGGGTGATTTATATAGCTTTTTATGAGTTTTATAGAATATAAGCTGGCTATTTGTGTAGCCTTCCAGCTATGAATCAGATTAGTCTATCACTGAGTGCATTTATGATGCAATGCGTCAGATGCCTTGTCTTGCAAGCGATCAAAAAAATCATTAACCTGGGGGAGAAGAATGTCTGTGATGTTTTTGTTTTAATGATTTGTTAATAAAGAGTCAATATTTTAACTCAACCAATTCCTGTTTGGTTTTCCTATTAATGTATAGATGGTTGGTTGGATTTTGTAATTGGATTTATGGTTCTCCTGTACTATACCATCCGTTTTTGAGCTTCTCAGTTTTTTATTGCTCACTCTTAAACTTTAAATTCTTCCTAAACTCTATTTCATCTGTTTATTTGTCTTGCTAATAGTAAATGGTTCTTATCTGCCGTCACATTCTATGTTTCTAATTATATCGTTTTTGCATGGAAGAGTTTCCCACCCTCGATCATTTCGACCAGTGTGGAAATTCAGATTTTAAAACAGAAATGAATTTTAGATTTTATATGCCATAATTGTTAACATTTAGGAAGTAATGTGATTTTAAAGGGACATTGTAGGCACCGTTACCACTTCCACTAATCACTAAGTGATTGTAGTGTGTAGTGTCTGAGAGTGCCGGGTCCTGCATCACTGTTATATGATTTACTCATCAGTTAGCAAAGATTCCTCAGAAGCCTGCAGTTGATTTCCCAATAAAGATATGGGAAGTCATAGTTCTGCTTTGCCTTGTGCCATACCAATTCATACCAGGGATTGCAGGCAGTGATAGGCTGACAGTGCTCAGCTGACATTGTCTGCCTACTGCTGGTATGGTGTGAGGGAGAGCACTATTACACCTCCTCCATATCCTCATTGGAGATCTTGCTGTAGAACACCAAGTATCTTGGCTAAACTCAATCAGTTGAAATGGTTCTGGTGCCTTCAGTGTCCCTTTGATCAGTTTTTTTTGTAATACAGGTGGTCCTCGTTTTGCAACCTATCTATTTTACGGCGGCTCACACTTACAACCAGCTCTCTCGCAGGGTGGTAAGTGTGAGCCGTAGTGGAAATTAGAGGGATTCCCTGCTCTCCTGCGTTCGTCTAAGTTCGAGGAAATTTCTTTACACTTCTCCTTGATTTATTTCCCCTTATGATTCTATACATTGTGCTAGAAATCGTTAGTCAACCGTGCTCCCCTCCTGTCAGACAGACTATCAGCATTGGCTCTATGCCGATGTCTGTCTGCAAGAGAATACGCTTACAAGCTGTTATATCGCTCATCTTCAAGCCTCTGTAGAACGCATTCCCCTCTTTCCTCCCCAAGTCCTAGTCCCAAGATGGCTACCTCAACAGGAAGAAGACCTATCGGACGTCTGACATCCAACAGACAGGCTGTGCCAGGTTTAGAGAAACGGTCTGAGGTTTTACCAACAGGGCCAGTGCAAAAGAGAAGGTTGCTGCCCACAAAAGTGGACTAAAGGCGGCCCATGGAAATGTTGTGCTAGAGCTACGTATGCTCTAAATATGAAGACACAAAGAATTTGAGTGAAAATAGCAAACCCTTTTTAATTTGGACACGAGAGAGGGCAATACGCAGGATCGAAAAGGTCATTTAGTTGTATTTTTTTAGTATATAGTATATTTAGTAAGTATTTTATAAGACTTTATTAAGAAAGTAAAACTCTACTTCAACAGTGATTTAGTATATTCACTGACTCCTAAATCCCCAGTTGTTTGGGTCACATGGCTCCTTGCTTACAGGCCCTATTAACAATCATGTTAATGATGTAGTCTCCACCTCCTCATCTCATGAAGTCTACATTAGTCGTCATATCCATGAGGAACATAATGGTACATCGTGGTTTCTTCTACAAAACACTTATTTTTTTTTTCCCGTGAGAATAAGGTGGTTTATCCAATATTTAGTTCCTTGGTGCTGAAGACGAGCTTTTCGCCCACTCTCAGTAGTGACACATACAGACAACTCTGAGTCACTGTCTTTTATGGTCTTTTAGAAAACAATATACATGTTCTGGGGTGATATACTGTTAACTTGAATCTTCTATAAGAAATGAGACCTTGACTCAATAGTCTAGACCTGGTATAGCTACAGCAAAGCAATTCTTTTATTCTTTTTGCCCTTTTAAATATAATCTTTAGTTGACTCTCAATGCTTTAATGATGGACTGTCGCTTGTTTTTTTGTCTTATGTTGGCTGAGGTCATATGGATCAAACCCACCATCCATGCAACCACAAATAATTAATGTCCCCAGGACTTACACCGTGACTCGTAAGCAAGTGTACACCCCTAGTGATTTCCTGTTGGCTGTCTGCAACTGACCTCTCTCCCAAAGTATGTGTACAGGACAAAAATGTATTACAAGAATTCACTTGGTTGACATGCTAGATATTCATGATAATTAACATATGTTTATCATCTTGTAAAATATGATGTCAATTATGCTTTTCGTTCTTTTAGATGTAATATTATGTTGTAGATCAGTGGTCCTTAACATGACGCTAGCTTGGCAACCCATTCTTCAAGGAAACAATTTAAAAGAAATGGATGAAAAGTCTACTTTTCAAATGCATTCTTATTGACATTGAAATAAATTTAGCAAAATACTTTGATCAGACTTTCCCCACCATCAAAGGGACCAGCTGCACTGGGAAAAGCTGTTCTGCTACAGTAAACATTTTGTCTGTCCTGATATGTCCTTGTCAGTGAGGACCCATTTTGGGGTCCCAAGTCAGGGATTAAACATTACTGTATTTGTTACTAAAAATGCCCCTCTGTGTATAGAACTATGCACAGAATTGACATAGATCAGCCCGGAGTTCTTATAACAACTCCGATAGCAAAGGGGTTCACCTCAGTATGTGCTGCATTTAATAGGGAAATGCTGCAGATATAGACTCCAAGCACCATGACCACTTCAAATCACTGAAGTGGTCCTGGTGCTTGGAGTAATCCTTTAAAGAAAATCACAACAGAAGAGCGAAAGAGAAACTACTTAGTGTTTTCAGCTAATAAGAATACAGCATTCAAGCCGTAATCAAAGATTATTAAAAAAATATGTGATGTTAATAAATTAAGGAGAGCCTCTTGTCAGCAATAAAATGCTGAATTCTCGGAACAGTAAAGGTTGAAATATGCGCTGTCTTGTTGAAAGCAATCTTTATTTTATTGTAATTTTACTTTTCTATTTTTTAGTAACGTTAGGCAGAAATACTTTAGACTTCTGCTTGTTTTTTTTTTTAATAGAAGCAGCATTACAAATACTTTTAAGATCTCGGCTTACTTAAAGGAACACAATAACGTTAGGAATACAAATCTGTGTCTTCATGTCCCTACTCTTTTTCAGATTTACCCAACTTTTCCAGCGACAGGCTCCACCTTTCCAGCTGCTTACCCCCATCTCCTCTGGCTATGACCATTCCAATTCTCGTCATAGAGGAGCATTGGGGACATAATGAGAATTAGGTGCATTGAATTAATGCTTTCCTATTGGACTTCCGCGTCACGTGAACCAGTTTTACTCTCTCAGTGCAGCAAAAGCATTTCTAGTTATTGTTATACTAACAGGCACTAGAGAAGGAGTGAAAGTAACTACACTGCCTACATGCAAAATAAGTAAAAATCACTGTTTAGTTGAATGTTTAGAAATGAAAACTTGCATACATTTAATTATGCATTTTTTTATTGGGTGTCTATCCTAAAACCGTTTGCAAGGCAGGTGCTCAGAGAAATAAACTGATTCCTGTGTTTCGCTCCACTGATCTAACTAATCCAGGAAGTACCAGGACCACTTGTATGATTAAAAGCCGGGAAGGGGGGGTGAAATCTGCATGTTTTGCAAAATGAAAAAGTGGACACACTATCCACACATAAAGCTTTTCAGCAATCTAAAGTGCTTTAGGGTTCTGAAGTGTCACTTTTAACCTTTCAATGTAATCAAAATATTTTACCTTGCAGAGTTAAAAGGACAGGGACACTGCACCCAGATCTCTTCGTTAAGACAAAGATTTCTGGATGACTATATTGCCCCTCTAAACAGAAAGGAGATGCTGATCATCAGAGAGTGGCGTTTTGCTGTGCATGCGCAATAGCTTCTCAATGCTTTCCTATTTGAAAGCAGTGGATTGGTTGAGATCGTCAAGTTTGATCTCTGCCAAGGAGGCAGAAGAGAGCCAGTCGTTGTGAGACTCACTCTGCTCTCGAAAAAAAGATGAGTTTAACACCTTTTTAAATGCAGGTAATGGGGTACCTAACCGATGTTTTTAAAACTATAGTGTCAGGAATATACGTTTGTATTCCTGACGTTATAGTGTTCCTTTAAGAACACAGTTTGAGGACTAATAATGATTAAAGGGACTTGGGCGACCAATTAGACAAGATTAAGGGCAAGCTAGAGGACTATAAAATCGAAAGGGCTTGAAGCAAGATGGCATTTAATGAGGCTCATGTGACTCGGAGCAAAGCGTGACACTTAGCAAACGTCTTGTGTGAAAAAAAATACAGCATGTTGAAGAGATTAAAGCTATCAAATGCATTAATGTCGTATTGGTGCCTGGAGTGTCCCTTTAAATAAGCAGAACTGTGCTCGTCATTTCCTAAATCTGGAATTTTCCAAGGAATTTACATTTTTTAGACCAAAATAATTGAGTTATTGGGGCATTTAGGCCAGAAATGTGAAATGTCCATTTTGTGTCAACTCCTGACTTAGTAAACAGTCTTGTTTGAATGCGTATTTTATGCAGTTTTATTTTATGGCAATTTCCTAGAACTAGATTTTTAAGTATGTAGAAAACATACTTAAAATGCGTTATTGTGTATGCTGGTTCATACTATTGTCTCACCACCTCCTGATGTCTAATCAGACTGAGGATATACTGTGCCCACGTCAGAGGGTAGCACAGCCAGTCACCAGTGTTTGCGATCATTAGGATGACTGTCTCTCACAAAAGAAGAGGAATTCCTGATGGAATATGCCTGCTGGTTCCACTATCTTCCATGGTGACAGCCCCAGATGTGGTAGACACATTTTATACATATTACCTATGTGTCTACCACATCTGTCCCACAAACACTGTCTGGACCTCATGGGAGTCCTCTAAACCTTCTATTTACCATGAGGGAATTCAAGGCTCTAATCTATGCCCACTTTTGGTATGTGACAGCATGTTTGTTTGTTTTGTAATGACAAAGAAGGATTTTCCAGTGTTCTCACTCAAATCTTTCCTAAAGAAAATTTGCTTAAAATCCCACAAACTAGAGTTCCAGGAAGTATTCATGCGTTTCTCACTAAAGGAACACTTTAGTTAGTGTTAGGAATACAAAGATGTATTTCTAACACTAAAGTGTCCCTCTGTAATCCCCTCCCCCCACCGTGAAAGGGTTAAAAATGAGATAAAGTGGTCTGGGTGCCTATAGTGTTCCTTTTAATGCGGAACTCGTGTATATACGATTGCCAGGGTCTGCACCCATACCCCGCAATTGAATGCATGATTGCAACCGTTGCAAATGAAATTCATTCAGTGCAAATTAATTTAGTTTTGAATGATTTTGCTTATAGCAGAGCTGCCGCTACCTTTTAAGCACCAGCTTTAATCAGCTCCCCAGCAGCCCACCACCCCATGCAGCACAGCCGTTAGGGAGATATAGCGATCTCTTTGCACAGTGCCAAGCTGCTTACTCTGGAGGCTGCCCACTCACTGTTAGACAGACATACAGCCAGAGACTCATGCACACTTGTCAAACAAACACACAGCCAGTCATACATACTCACACACAATAGAAACACACCCCCATTGACAAACAGATACACAACCAGACATACACAGACACTCACACAATAGATACACTGAAAAACTGACACCCAGAGACACACACAGTTCGACACTAACAAACACAGGTCCCCAACCTCTTCCCTCCACAGCAACCAGAACTAAACTTACACGCCTTCTATTGCAGTTTGCAAACCCCTTTGGCAGCGTAGCGGGAGAGACAGGCGGTGTTATAACATGCCACATCCCCACCCCCTCTACACATTGCTTCAGATCTGATCCTCAGCGGCCAGTTAGAGCAGCTCTGTGGTGACGCTATGATATCACATGCTCCAGCGCTGCTGACTGTGACTGAGATGTGCAGGCCAATATTTCTGTCTCCTTAACTGGACCAACAAGTGTTACAGGGTCCCAGCAATGGACCCGGCCCATTACAAGAGTACTGCCTGTACCGCCTTGATGGTGGCTCTGCTCACAGATACACCAGGATACTCTTTCAAGCACATGTACGCTACAAAATGCTAGATATGCACACACACAGGTGCCAATACACACTGCCAGGTGCACAATGTGATTTTGTGACTGTATCTGTCGGTGTATGTGTGTCATTGTGTGTCACTATACATCAGTGTGTTTGTGTATGTGTGTGCGTTTCTCAGAGTATTTGTGGGCTTATATCGAGTGTACATATGTGCGTGTATTTGTGCACGTATATTTGAATGTATCCAAAGTGACAACGTCATGGTAATGTGGCAAAATTAGAATATAAATATGGAGATTTTTTTTGTCCAGACAAAATGTTCATATTGTTTCCGTGAAATATTGCGCTATCGAGGCATACTGAAACGAAAAATACATTTATACATTACTTTCCAGGATACCAAAATTACTGTGTTTGTTCTGCAAATCGTTTTATATTGAAGGAGTTAAGCTAACACCCCAAGGAACATCTACTTTGTCACAAATCTTCATATCCTCTGTAAAAAAAATAAAAAAAAGTTGCCTTCCAAAGTGTCTGCCACGTCCCTAATGAATATATTGAAAAAGATTGATCCATTTAGCACTGATCTATCCTCTGAAAACACATCACTCTATTGTCTGCCTTTCAGCATATTCTTTGTCTTCTAATGTTAAAAGTGCACAATGAGAAACAACCAGAAAAAACCTTAGCTTGATGCAGGGCTTGACAAATTTCTTTGAAATCTAGGAGCCAGCTAGAAAAGTTAGGAGTCAGAGAAATCAACACCAAAAATAAAATTCTTAAAGGGACACTGTAGTCACTGTTATGGACGTAAATTAGGATTAGTAAAACATCTATTTACTCTGTGCATCTGTGCTCGTTATTTACTGTGTTAACTTGTCTGCTAGAGCAACCCCTCCCCTCCCGTGTTCACTAACTGCTCCCCCTCCCATCGACTAACTGCCTGTGTAACAAGATGGCAGTGGCGGATCCAGAGCCTGATCTCGGGAGGGGCACTTGTAGATTATTTAATTAAATAATCCAGGCACAATAACCACTACAGCTCAGTGTAGTAGTTATGGTGTCAGTAGTGCCAGGATTCCACCCCAGACTAAGTAGTCATACCGTTTAAGAACAGTTTGACAACTTACCTGGGGTCTGCTGGGATATAGGGTATAGGAGCAGTGGTGTGTGTTAAGGGTGAAGTGTGTGAGTGCGGCAGTGTATGTCAGGGTTGTAGTGTGTGTGTTAGGGGGCAGTGTATGTATGGGGGCACTGTATGTGTTTTTGGTGCAGTGTGGGTATGGGGACAGTGTTTGTGGGGACAGTGTTTGTGGGGCAGTGTGTGTGTATGGGGACAGTGTTTGTGGGGCAGTGTGTGTATGGGGACAGTGTTTGTGGGGCAGTGTGTGTATGGGGACAGTGTTTGCGGGGCAGTGTGTGTATGGGGACAGTGTTTGCGGGGCTGTGTGTGTATGGGGACAGTGTTTGTGGGGTCAGTGTGTGTGGGGCAATGGGGGCAGTGTGTGTGTGTGTGTAATGGGGGGGGGAGGAGGCTTTTAAATAATAAAAAATATTTTTATTTAATAAAAATAAATATTCTATGTCCCCCCTCCCTTCTTACCTTTATTTAGGAGGAGGGGAAAGATTTCCCTGGTGGTCCGGTGGGGGATTCATTGGTGGTCAGGTGGTCAGAGTGAACTTTAGCCCATGCTCCCGGGCTAGAGTTCACTCTCACGAGATTTGGAGCGTTGCCGTGGTAACCGCGGCAACGCTCCAAATGTCGAGAGAGGAGGACCCGGAGGAGCTGCAGACTGAGCTCCGGGTCCTCTCTCACTTCCTCCCTCCGCCGCCGGCTGTCAGTACGGTGCCTGCGGACCGGGGAGGGAGATCTCTGATCTCCCTCCCCGCTCTACAGGCACATTGCAGGGCTGGCACTTGGGCAATGCCAGCCCTGCGTTAGCCGGCAGGGGGGAATCTCGGGGGGGGGCAATTGCCCCCCCCCCTGGATCCGCCAATGCAAGATGGCGCTGGAATCTGGAGGAGAACTCCGTGATAACAGTAACATCATGGCCTGTAGGTTGTGCATTAGATAAAACACTTAACACTTAACCAATTAAAGATGTATTTTCTCTGAAATCTTGCTTTCTGCATATGGGGCTCCCTGCCCCCCTGATTAAAACATTCCGAAGTTTTTCATCAACATGGAAACTTGTGTCTGGTGTGAATTACTTTAGGAGCGTGCACGCATTTATATTGACAATTTGGACAGGGGCAGATATTCAAATAATCAAACACTTGATTTGATCCACAACAGTCACCAGAACCACTACAGCCTAATGTCGTTGTTCTGAAGTCTATATCCTGCCTCTGAACGCTTTTCAATGTAAACACTGACACCTCTACTGACAGTCACTCAGTCGGCCTCTAGAGGTGCTTCCTGGTTCAGTGCTTCACACCGTGCAGCTCCGATATTAATGTTCCCTATAGGGATGCATTAATTCATTCTGATTTATTTTGCCATGCATGTGCAAGAGTTTCCCCATGCATTCCTATAGGGAAGCATTGGATTGGCTGAGATCATCAAGATTGATGAGCTCAGCCATGGATATGGGGCCAGCTGCGGCATCACCAGCACGACAAGGGAAAATGGTGAGTAAAAACACTTTTCCCATGTGATTGGAGGGAATACACACTCACTCACTGACAGACACATACAGACAAACACACACTTATAGACAGACAGAGACACACACACTCAGACATACAGACACACACACACACACACACACACACACACACACACACACACACAGACAGACATGCTCACAAATAATTACCAGTGGGGCTGCTGTCATCTCCCTACTCAGCTTCCTCTTGAGCACTGTTTAGTGAGCCGAGGGCCGGAGTGACTTCATAACCGGGCTCCTGGCGTCACTACAAGGCGTGCGAGGGAGCAGAGCAGGGAGATTACAGCTCCCTTGCTGCTGCACTAAGTCAGCAGGCCCCCCTTTCTCAGCTCACCATAAGCCATCGAGCCACCCCTCTCCCTCACTCAGCCGCTTGCCTCAGCCCTCAGTGAGCCGACTGCTGCATCCCTCAGTGAGCCGCATGCCCACCTCTGCTCTCAGGCAGCTGGTCACCTCAGGGGCTGAACAGGCTCACGAATCAAGCCCTTGCTTAATGAGCAGTTTTGGTGTATAGATCGTGCCTCTGGAGTCCCACTGCTCAATTGCCATTTAGGAGTTAAGTCACTTTGTTTATGCAGCCGTAGCCACACCTCTTCTGGCTGTGACTCACGTAACCTCCCTGCACACATCCTGAAAAAATAAATCAATTTATCTTCCTGCAAGGTGTGTTTAATTTAGAGGTTCTAATCCCCTGCTCCGGTTTATGTCTGTTAGAGCATAAAGTAGCCTCCTGTTTGTGATTAATGAAACACTCCAATTGTATTTAACAGCTTAGTACATATACCCACAATGCAAGGCTCGACAAATCCCAGGTCGCCATGGCGACTAAATATTTTGTCCTGGCATCTGGGATTCGTCAGCCCGGTCCTTCCTCCTTTTGTCTTAATCCTCGTGCAGGGGAATTGCAAGCTTACCTGGCAGGATACCAGGTAAACACGGCTCTGCTCCCCGCCCTCCTCCCAACCCCATACTCGACTCTGCTACCCGTCCCCATGCTGCATACCCGACCCTGCTACACGCCTACCTCCATGCCGCAAAAAAGCCGACCCTGCTCCCCACCCGCCCCCATGCTGCGAAGCCGATGAAACACTGGCAACCAGTCCTTTCCCCTGTGTGACCTCAGCGCCGGGAGGAAGTTGTTACAGTTCACTTCACTTCCTCCTGGCGCACAGAGACAGCTGCTAAGACAGTGAGGAGGAGAAAGTCTGAAACAGCGGCTGCCTACTCCCATCAGCCGCAGCCAGCCCCACTAACCTGTCACTTGCTGCTGCCTAATCCCACTAGACACCAGGGAAGCCACCCTCCTGAGCCCAAAAGGTAGGAAACAGGATGGTTACTAAAAGAAATGTGTATTTAAAAAAAACCTGTGCATCTGTCGTGTATGTCTCTATGTGTATTTGTCTGTGTGTATGTATGAATGTTTGTGTGTATATATATATTTGAGTGTATTAATAGTACTTTGTGAGTGTGTCTGTCTCTGTCAGTGTGTGTGTCTGACTGTGTCAGTATGTGCGTGTCTGACTGTCTTGTTCAGTGTGTGTACTTGTGTGTCTCTGTCTGTGTGTGTGTCAGTTCGCGTGTCTGTCTATGAATGTGTATGTTTAAGTCACCAGCCCCCTCAGATCGCATGGGTATGATGCTTTTACTCATCTTTTTACCAGCGCTGTGCCGGTCTCGCCAGAGCTGGCCCGCCTCCATAACAGAGATCATTAATTGCCAGTCATCATTTCCTCATAGAAATGCATTAAATCAATTAAAAGCATCTCTATGAGGAACGTGCAGCGCCTCCATGCAGAGCGTGGAGACACTGAATGTAGGTGGTGCACATTGTGCAGCACTGAGATAGGCGACCCTTAAGTGGCCATCTGAGTGACAGCCTCTAGCGGTGTTACTAGGCAGCAATGTAAACACTGCCTTTTCTCCGAAAAGGCGTTTTTTACATTGAAAAGTCTGCAGGGACAGGCTATAGACACCAGAACGACGACATTAAGCTGTAGTGGTTCTGGTGACTATAGTGTTCCTTTAAGAATTATATTTTTGTCGTTACGGGGAAAAAAACAAACTGGCTCCTAAATTGAAAGCAAATTTGTCAAGCCCTGCCCCAATGAAAACATGCATTTGTTACTGCATTTTTCCATTGGATATATAGCTAAAAACAATTTACAAAATCTGCAGATCTCTTGTCTGCAGTATTTGCAAACCATTTCCTTTCCCACCCACCCCCCAGAACATACTTTCTGTGGCTGTCCAATCATAGTCTTCCTAATGAAGCTTATTATGCAGCTGCCTCTAAACTACCAAGAAGTAGCAACACTCATCGGATTGACATCCAGGAGGGGATAACAGGGTTAATTTATAAATGTGCTGATTTCTATTGAAATCTAAACTTTTTGTAAAATTAAGAAAATAGGATAGCTGCTTCGAACATGAAGCACTTCAGCAAGGAGTTTTTTGTTTTTTTAAAGTTCTAATAACAGAGATAAAAACTTCTAAAGTGAACACACTTTGTGGTAAGATCAGATTGATATTTTTTTATGGAGGTTGTGTAAATCACAGCCAGGTAGGATTTTGTGTAGTTCAAAAACCCCAAATTGAGCAGTGAGACTGCAGGTGCATGATCTTTCAACCAAACCTGTTTTATTATGCTGCAGTGGTTGTGGTGCCCCTTTAATGGGTTACCATAACCACTCCAGCTTGATTATTGATATCAGCAAAGCACCTAGTGGCCCCTATGCTGTCTCTTTAAGTGGAAGCAGACTCTTGAAATATATGATATCTTGCCTTTAAGTTCCATGTAAAAGTGATGTATTTCTTTGCAATAAATGTTTATATAAGATGGTGATTTAATAATGTGTTCTTCTCCTGTAGGTTTGCAGTATGAAGCTTGTTAATCTGAAGCAGGCCATTCTTCAAGCCTGGAGGGAGAGGTGGAGTGACTACCAATGGGCTATAAACATGAAAAGGTTTTTCCCCAAAGGGGTCACCTGGGACATTCTGAATCTGGCAGGTAAAGTACCCAAGCACTCAGTACATACTTTTTATGCATTGGTGAACACGGTGGCCTTCAGGCAACTGCACACAACCATTAGCAAAAAGATATTTTAATAAAACTTTTTTTTATTTTAAAGATATTAAATAATACCGGTCACAAATAAATCTTATTTTACTTGTCGTGGTAGAGTTGTTTATAGTGATTTGCCAGTGCACATCTTCCTTCTTATTGACACACTGCTCCTCTGTGGCTTGAAGAATGGACAAAAGAATCATGTTAATGTTTTTAGTATGACAAATTATTACATATCTGTGTTACAGCAAAAAACAGGGCGCACGAGGATACTGATACTTATATATAGGAAGAAAGGCAGGGACAATCTGGTACACTTGTAGTGAGGACTCAGTGTTTATATTGAAAATAATTGTGGAGTTATTGTGTTCGTATATTAGACTGCGAAGATCTCTGTATTCTCTGAAGCTGGAATTGCATCTCCATCTAGCTGTGATGTTAAACATATGTGCCCATTTTCTCTGTCAGTGTATCTAAGTGCAGCAATTGTGACTGCAGGGTTGACACGTGTGTCTTCTAATTCAGGCTGCTCAGTTCACACAGTGTATCTTCTATGCAGGCTGAAGAATGCATAGTACACAGGACATACTTGAAAATGAGAGAAATCTCAATGTATCTTTCCTGGTAAAATATTTTATAAATAAATAGTAACAGGACTCTCTTAGTGTGTAACAGTACATGCAGGTAATAGACTCTCCTAGCATGTGACAGACAGTACATGCAGCTCAAGGCTCTCCTGGTATGTAACAGTACATGTAGCCCACAAAATCTCCTAATATGCGACAGTACATGGATATTCTTAGTACAGGGGAAGGCAACCTTCAGCACTTCAGATGTTGTGGATTACATCTCTTACAGCCATAATGCTGACAAAACATCAAGGGAAATTTACTTCTCAACATCTGGAGTGACCAAAGTTGATTTCCCTGTTCATAGCATGAAGCAGTACATGCAGCCCCTAGACTCATGTGGTATGCAACAGTGCATGCGGCCACTAGACTTCTTAGCATGAAACAGTACATGCAGCTCACAGACTCCCCTAGTATGTAACAGTGCATGCATCCAATAGACTCCCCTAGCATGTTACAGTACATGTAGCCATTAGTCTTCTTAGCATGTAACAGTACATTTAGCCCACAGACCTACCTAGCATGTGACAGTACGTGCAGCCCACTGACTTACCTAATATGTATCAGTGCATGCAGCCCATAGACTCTCCTAGTATGTAACAGTGCATGTAGCCCACATGCTCTCCTAGCATGTAACAGTACATGTAGCCCATAGACTCTCCTAGACTGTCACAGTACATGCAGCCCACAGACTCTCCTAGCGTGTAACAGTACATGCAGCCCGCAGACTCCCCTAGTATGTCACAGTACATGCAGCGTACAGACTCTCCTAGCATGTCACAGTACATTCAGCCCGCAGACTCTCCTAGCGTGTAACAGTACATGCAGCCCGCAGACTCACCTAGCATGTCACAGTACATGCAGCCCACAGACTCTCCTAGCATGTAACAGTACCTGCAGTCCACAGACTCTACTAGCGTGTAACAGTACATGCAGCCCACAGACTCTCCTAGTATGTAACAGTACATGTAGCCCATATACTCTCCTAGCATGTAACAGTACATGCAACCCACAGACTCTCCTAGCATGTCAGTACATGCAGCCCGCATACTCTCCTAGCATGTAACAGTACGTGCAGCCAACAGACTGTCCTAATATGTAACAGTACATGTAGCCCCCAGACTCTCAGTAACTAACAGTACTAATCTAGTTTGCTCATTTTTTTTTGTAGAGGCCCTATTGGATCAGGCCATGATCGGTGTTGCACCAAACCCTCTTGTCGTCTCGTATCTCAAGTATGCGATCAACTCTCAGGTATATCTCATGGAAGCATAGTTATAATAATACATTTTATGCATGGTTTATCAAGGCTTGTTATTGACAAAACTTGTTCTTGTTCATCTCAAAGTAAACTTTACTTTTTCTTCAGATGGTGTCTTACTCCTCTGTCTTGACGGCAATCAGCAAGGTATGTTTGCACTTTATTATTTACCTACGGTTAATAATGCCTTGTCCACAATACAGTGGGAGTTATTCATAAACTGCTGCAATTTAGCTAAATTTGGCTGTACTCAGGGCAACCTGCATCATCTTGGGAGATGGTGTGCGAGACAATTTCACAATATATTTGGCTTCTCTGGGCTGTCAGCCAAGTTACATTTGATTTCCTTGCAGACTTTTCTCTGAAGCTCAAGTCATAAGGAAACTGTCAATGTATTGACCCTGTCCTTCCCATCTCTCTGTATATACACGCTAGGTTCATTTTTGCCTTCCTATGGAGGAGTGCGAGTTCTGAGCAGGTGGAGTACGCGGCCACTTGCAAACCTCGGTAGAGGTCTTTTAATTACACTTATATTTTGTAGCCATATACCAGAGTTTACATTCTGGTGACATTTTTAAGAATCGGAATTTCTAAGAACACCATGCATACAGGTTTCACACCTTGTATGTGGTAAACGTAGGTTCAAATCCCGGCAGGGTTGACTCAGCCCTTCATCCTTCCATGGTAGATAAAATGAGTACCATTAAATTGGGTAATTGTAACAACCCCTGGATGTTGGGCAAAAGTTACATTCCAAGGACGTACTTGAAAACCAGAGTAATCTGAATGTACCTTTCCTGGCTGAAATTTAATACTTTGTTATTATTATATAATTGATAGGATATTTTGGGATTCTGCTAGTGTACCTACAATAGAGGATAAAACATAGTGCAAATATTGCTTTATACTATAAAATAATCTGATGATTAATATGCACTCACATATTCCAAATTGGTAAAGCGTATTATGGGTGCCTCCCCACGATGTAGATATTGTAGGTACACTAGCAGAATCCCCAAATATCCTATCAATTATACAGTTTTGTCATATGGTTATCAGCTGGGAAATAACCTTGGGAAGCAGTGTACCCATAAGTTAAGTTTTTGTGTTGGATATATTTTTTTACACAGATCACTTTGTTCACGGCTGGTTGTGTGTATTTGTGGTTTTTGTTATTATGATGTCAGATCTTCAGACATATTGCATAGCTAGGCTTACCATATACATTATTTTTAAACTTTTTGTCCTCGATATTTTGGTAATTTTAAATTAGTAAATTACAAATCAAATTGTGTACATTTGTATCATTTCAATATTTAAGTCATCCTTTAAAGGCAATTTGTGCACCAAGCTGTTTTTTCCCACCCGCTATGTTGATGTGTTAGCGATGTTACCATTGCTAACAGTAATTATACTGTTTTTGTAAAAAGCAAAGAAGAATTGGTAACAGAGAGGGTTAATTTGCCAGAAATTTCTCAGGATCCTTTGAGTCTTTAATATATTTTCAAGATGGCACAAATTTTGTGAAAATATCCATCCAGTCCATTCTCTGGTCAAGTTGATTCTCTGTAAATAACGCTATGAATTTAAACGCTTGTGAGGGTTGGTCTATATTTAAAGAATTCCTACATTTAGCATCAAGTTGTTATTTTAGTCTGTATACCCAAGACCTGTGGTTTCCATCTGCAGTGCATTTTTTATTTTACTTTTTTCAGTTCTTCAAGTTAACGTACGACCACAAATGACAATGTTTGTGTGTGTCCTATAGACCTCTGGAAATACGCCAATTGCAGGGTGTGTAATACTGGTAACTTGCACTCTTTGTAGTTCATTTTTTCACAGTATTTCTGGCCTGTTGGGTGGTAATTTGTATTCCTTGACAGCTTCAAAAAAGTGGCAAACAAAATCCAGTGCATCTCCCACTATTTAATTTAAGTAGTATTGAAATTAATTTGAATGCACAACGCACAACAAAGATAATTTATAAGCAAAACAAATGAACAATGTAATAGTAAGAAGTTGTCTTGGTAGCATTTAGAAAAATCAAGGATTAATGCAGCAATCTGTCCATTTCAATGGTCTCTTGCGTTTTCCAGAGTCCCGTGAGTAGTACATAGTACTGGCACAGAAGTGCTATCCTTTTATCATTGGCTTTGGAAGGTATTTGGAACTAATGAAGTGTGTTTTGAAAGCACTTAAGAAATTCTGTTAGCACTCTAAAGCATTTTTTTTTTGGGCCAAGAAGGCCATTCATTCTTCTGCTAGGGATTTTTAAATACTATAAGATTTGAAATGGATCACTCTTCTTATTTTGGCATAGCTGGGTATTTACAAGTATTTACATTTATTTGTAAAACCTTTGGTGTTGGCTGCAGGTTGATCCATTTATTTGGCTGGTTATTAGTAAGCTCTGATTCAGCCCAATCGTTGTTTTTGTAACAAAATATATCTGGACCATCATAATTATAATTCCAAAGTCATTTTGATACTAATCATAAAATCAAGAAACAATAGCCATCTTGTTTCTTTGCCGCCATTAAAGGTTGATAATATATGCCAGAGCATGAGCATTGCAAAAGAAAGCCCGGGAATCTGCCAGCAATAAGACCTCATCTTCATGCCACTGACGGCACAGAAATAATAAATGGGTAGAACACACGTTTCAGTTTGTTGGCACCAAGTCCTCCATTTGTGCTAGTGAGCCATTTTTGTTTTCTCAGAAAATAAATCAAAATATCAGGGCATCTTTTCTCTTAAGTGATTATAATCTTGGCAGTATGAATGAAGCCGGCATTTGGAACATAGTATGGAAGAGTTCTTGATTAGTGAAAGTGCACAGGATTGCTAGTCAAGGCGCATAAAGATTGTTCCTGGCACACTGTGGTAATATGGACTAATTATAAACCTGCGTTACATCTACAAAAACTGGTCAAGGGAACAAGAGTGCTAAACATTGCCAGTCCATCTGTATAAGCAAAATACCAATGGAAAAATTACATTAGAAGGAAAATTGAGCATCTCACGAAAAAAATAAATAAAAAAATATCAAGTTATAGATGATTTGCAACGTTTTAATCAGTTGTGTACATTTCAGAGAAGTAACAATTCCCCTTTAAATGGCTTGACAATACAGTGGACTGCAGTGGTTATGGTGCTAGGAGTCTTACTTTAAGGGTTTGAGAGAAGTTTTATAATGTGTAACAGTTTGGAAAGTTATAGAGACACTCTCATGTGGTTGTTAGAGTGCTGTGAGTCTCTGGGTGTCATCCCCAAGTTTTATGTCAAAACCTTTATTTTTTTTTATTTATTTTTTTTTAAAGAGGTTTGCAAAAAACTGGTCTCTCTGGGTTCCTATAGCCAGCCCCATCTTCAGCCGTTCTGGTAATATGGAAACTACACTTTCATTTTATTAAGTGTGATTCCGTCCAACCACGACAATTCTGACAATTTGTGCCTAAATAGACATGCACTTTTCATATGCACGCCAGACTGGGTGGTCCAGCAACAAAACATTTGGGCACATCTAATTGCTGATAAATTCAGAAACACCAGCACCATGTTATGTCTCTGATGAGTCCTGATATAGACATATATGAGTGTGTGTGTGTGTATGCAAACACTTTCAGTTATTGATGTGTCCCTGTGGGAACATTTGCTTTATTTGCATGTGGAAATTACTTCTATCTAATGCCATGAAAAGGACAGAATAATGAATGTTGTCCTTGTGTGGAGATTGCACCACAGGAAAAGCTGTTTATCTGTTTGTACTCGAGGTCTGATCTCAATTTTGAACAATATTTATGTTTTTGTATTAAGGCTTAGCGATCCCCATGATTGCAACGAGAAAATATACCGTGAGCTGAAAAGGAAGCGTTTAGAAACTAAGTTTAAAAAAATAAAAAATGCTGATCAAAAAAGAAAAAGTCAAATATTTTCCATTTTACATAGAATCTTTGGCTCAGAGGCAACTTGAGGACTCGATGGGTGGGGGCGGCTGGATGTGCGACAGGCTTGCGTGTGTTTACACTTCAGTATGCATGTATGTGTATATAATATAACACTCTGGCCACATTGCCTCCTGAACGGAAAAAAAAATCCCAGCTTTCTTCTCTGGAAACTCAAATATTTACATAAGAGAAGAAATATGGTCAGTAGAGAGGAAGAGGGGGATGTATGTAGCAGTAAAGGACATTAACTCTTATGCAGGCCCTGCTTAAAAATGTGAAGACTGAGTAATTAGAAAGGGATTATATGGAGTAACAGGAGGAGTTATAGGGAGAGGTTATATGAAGTAATAGGAGGAGTTATAGAGAGAGGTTATATGGAGTGATAGGAGGAGTTATAGAGAGAGGTTATATGAAGTAATAGGAGGAGTTATAGGGAGAGGTTATATGGAGTAATAGGAGGAGTTATAGGAGAGGTTATATGGAGTAATAGGAGGGTTATAGGGAGAGGTTATATGGAGTAATAGGAGGAGTTATAGAGAGAGGTATATGGAGTAATAGGAGGAGTTATAGGGAGAGGTTATATGGAGTAATAGGAGGAGTTATAGGGAGAGGTTATATGGAGTAATAGGAGGAGTTATAGAGAGAGGTTATATGGAGTAATAGGAGGAGTTATAGGGAGAGGTTATATGGAGTAATAGGAGGAGTTATAGGGAGAGGTTATATGGAGTAATAGGAGGAGTTATAGAGAGAGGTTATATGGAGTAATAGGAGGAGTTATAGAGAGAGGTTATATGGAGTAATAGGAGGGGTTATAGAGAGAGGCCATACGGAGTAATAGGAGGAGTTTTAGGGAGAGGTTATATGGAGTAAAAGGAGGAGTTATAGGGAGAGGGTTATATGGAGTAACAGGAGGAGTTATAGGGAGAGGTTATATGGAGTAACAGGAGGAGTTATAGGGAGAGGGTTATATGGAGTAATAGGAGGAGTTATAGGGAGAGGGTTATATGGAGTTATAGAGAGAGGTTATATGGAGTAATAGGAGGAGTTATAGGGAGAGGGTTATATGGAGTAACAGGAGGAGTTATAGGGAGAGGTTATATGGAGTAACAGGAGCAGTTATAGGGAGAGGTTATATGGAGTAATAGGAGGTGTTATAGAGAGAGGTTATATGGAGTAATAGAAGGGGTTATAGAGAGAGGCCATACGGAGTAATAGGAGGAGTTTTAGGGAGAGGTTATATGGAGTAAAAGGAGGAGTTATAGGGAGAGGGTTATATGGAGTAACAGGAGGAGTTATAGGGAGAGGTTATATGGAGTAACAGGAGGAGTTATAGGGAGAGGGTTATATGGAGTAATAGGAGGAGTTATAGGGAGAGGGTTATATGGAGTAATAGGATGAGTTATAGGGAGAGGTTATATGGAGTAATAGGAGAGGTTATATGGAGTACCTTAGAGGAGTTATAGGGAGAGGTTATATGGAGTAATAGTTATAGGGAAAGGTTATATGGAGAAACAGGAGGAGTTATAGGGAGAGGTGATATGGAGTAATAGGAGGAGTTATAGAGAGAGGTTATATGGAGTAATAGGAGGAGTTATAGGGAGAGGTTATATGGAGTAATAGGAGGAGTTATAGGGGGAGGTTATATGGAGTAATAGGAGGAGGTATAGAGCGAGGTTATATGGAGTAATAGGAGGAGTTATAGGGAGAGGCTATATGGAGTAATAGGAGGAGTTATAGAGAGAGGTTATATGGAGTAATAGGAGGAGTTATAGGGAGAGGTTATATGGAGTAACTTAGAGGAGTTATAGGGAGAGGTTATATGGAGTAACTTAGAGGAGTTCTAGGGAGAGGTTATATGGAGTAATAGGAGGAGTTATAGGGAGAGGTTATATGGAGTAACAGGAGGAGTTATAGAGAGAGGTTATATGGAGTAATGGGAGGAGTTATAGAGAGAGGTTATATGGAGTAATATGAGGAGTTATAGGGAAAGGTTATATGGAGTAAGAGGAGTTATAGGTTGAGGTTATATGGAGTAATAGGAGTTATAGGGAAAGGTTATATGGAGTAACTTAGAGGAGTTATAAGGAGAGTTTATATGGAGTAATAGGAGGAGTTCTAGGGAGAGGTTATATTGAGTAATAGGAGGAGTTATAGGGAGAGGTTATATGGAGTAATAGGAGGAGTTATAAGGAGAGGTTATATGGAGTAATAGGAGGAGTTATAGAGAGAGGTTATATGGAGTAATAGGAGGAGTTATAGGGAGAGGTTATATGGAGTAATACGAAGAGTTATAGGGAGAGGTTAAATGGAGTAATAGGAGGAGTTATAGGGAGAGGTTATATGTTGATTTAGAAAGGGATACCTTTTGGCTTGTGCATGGATTTAGCACCCATGTTATCTTCCACAGCAAGCAGTGTTAATAATATTTCAGCACAGAGTAAAAAGCCCTGTGCTCAAACTCCCGTTGCTGTTATGTGGCAGCAGTGACCATTGTATTCATAAGTAAACAAATGGAAAACAGTGAAATAACTGACTTTAGTACCACTGCAGTGGCTTTTCCCCCCTTTTGTTTACTATTTTAAACCTGTTTCAAAAATCCTTTATTCTCAGTAATATAAAGGCCCTGTATTTACCATGAGCAGAATAGAATGTCAAAGTCAAGTTGGTAAACTTCTGACTAAACTTGCCTTAAAGTAGTACTGTCATGGCCGCCTCCATTTTTTGTTTCCCCCCTCTTCCGACTCCACTACATCTAATGGTTCAGGAATTGACGGGAATTTCGTCTATTTATTTATTTGTCAGAAAGACGAATGAATAGAAATGTCAGACGAACAAACGAATATCGGAGCTCGTTTGTTTGTTTGTTCAGTTTATTACAAGGTCGGGAGCTACCGGCGCGCAGCTCCCTCCTTGTAATATGTAAAGATAGAAGCTGCAGGGAGCTGTGCTCCCCACCACTTCCTAAGCCCCCCATGTCCTCCCTCACTCTAGGGTGGTCAATATGACCCCCATATTAGCATAAGGGAGAATGAAATCAGTAGACTGTCGCTGTTAAATGTTTTTTTTTTTTTTTTAAAGCCACCCGGCCCCCACCCATGAGCGGCAGGTGGGGGCCCTAAATTGCAATGGGGGGGGACCTATTGTCCTCCACCCATGAGCGTTGAGTGGGGGCCCTAAATGACAATGGGGGGACCTATTGTCCGCCCCCAGCCATGAGCAGCAGATGGGGGCCCTAAATTATAATTAGGGGGGGGGGGACCTATTACCCCCTCCCCAGCTAAGTGTAAAAATATAAAAATACCCCCCTCCCCCCTTTCAGGTGGCTAGGGGTCCCCAAGACCCTAGTAACCCCCCACCCAAATAAAATGAAATAAAGTCCTACCTACACCCTCACTCTTAAAATAGTGAGGGGGAGACAATAAAACTATATACCTGTAAATAAAAAAAATACTTACCATTTGATGTCTTCTTTTTTCTAAAACCTTATTTTTTCAGCCCCAAAAAAGCTCAAAAAAAGGCCAAATAAAAAAAAAACCATAATACCAGCGAACTTATAAAATAAAACAAAAACCCGAACGCCAAAAAATAAACCTGCTGAAAAAAACAAACACACCCGACGCCAAAAAAAACCATTCCATCTTCATCCAGCGAGGTCATGGCGTTGACTGAGCTCGGCAGGGTGTGGAACAGCTTATAAAGCCTTCCCACGCCGTGCAATTTGGTTCTGTGCGCTCTGATTGGTTGGTTTAAGCCAGCCAATGAGAGTGCTTTGACAGGTAAATGAAGAGATTGACAGTTAAGTCTCTTCATTTACCTGTCACAGCACTCTGATTGGTTGGCTTGGAATCCAAAGAACTTTCCCATGCTGTGTAAAATGACTAGCACTCTGGTTGGATTCCAAGCCAACCAATCAGAATGCTCTGAGTCATTTTTCACAGTGTGGGAAAGGTATAAATTGATTTGCATGTCAATGAGTGAAATAAGTATTTTATCAGCTATCAATCAGCAAGATTTCTGGCTCCCAGTTATCTTTTATATAGGTAACAAGATGAGATTAAGAGCACTCTCTTAAAGACTCGTAACCTGTATAAAAGACACCTGTTCACAAAAGCAATCAATCAGATTCCAAACTCTCCACCATGGCCAAGACCAAAGAGCTGTCCGAGGATGTCAGGGACAAGATTGTAGACCTACACAAGGCTGAAATGGGCTACAAGACCATCGCCAAGCAGCTTGATGAAAAGGTGACAACAGTTGGTGCGATTATTCGCAAATGGAAGAAACACAAAATAACTGTCAGTCTCCCTCGTTCTGGTGCTCCATGCAAGATCTCACCATGCAAGAACTGGGTGAAAGTGTTGTGGTCATATGAGACCAAAATGTATCTCTTTGGCAACAACTCAACTCGCTGTGTTTGGAGGTGGAGGAATGCTGCCTATAACACCCCAGGAACACCATCCCCACCATCAAACATGGAGGTGGAAACATTATGTTTTGGGGGTGTTTTTCTGCTAATGGGACAAGACAAATGCACCGCATCAAAGGGACAATGGATGGGCCATGTACCGTCAAATCTTGGCCGGGAATTTAAAATGGGTAGTGGATGGGTATTCCAGTATGACAACAACCAAAAACACACAGCCAAGGCAACAAAGGAGTGGCTCAAGAAGAAGCACATTAAGGTCCTGGAGTGGCCTAGCCAGTCTCCAGACCTTAATCCCATAGAAAATCTGTGGAGGAAGCTGAAGGTTCGAGTAGCCAAACATTAGCCTCGAAATCTTAAAATGACTTGGAGAGGATCTGCAAAGAGGAGTGGGACAAAATCCCTCCTAAGATGTATGCAATCCTGGCGGCAAACTACAAGAAACGTCTAACCTGTATGATTGCCAACAAGATTTTTGCCACCAAGTACTAAGTCGAAGGGGTCAAATACTTATTTCACTCATTGACATGCAAATCAATTTATAACTTTTTTGACATGCGTTTTTCTGGATTTATTTTTTCTCTCACTGTTAAAATACACCTACCATTAAAATTATAGACTGATCATTTCTTTGTCACTGGGCAAACTTTCCAAATCAGCAGGGGATCAAATACTTTTCCCCCTCACTGTAAATGGTAACTCCAGCACATAGGCAAGCAATTGATTTGGTACGTTGGCAACATCCGGCACTGGATTATATGGAAGGGGGTTAACAAAACAACTTGAGTAAGTGATTAAAGCTTTAGTGCATTGATCAGGGATAGGCAACCTTCAGCACTCCAGATGTTGTGGACTACATCCCCCATAATGCTCTTACACCCATAATGCTGTCAAAGCATTATGGGAGGTGTAGTCCAAAACATCTGCAGTGCCGAAGGTTGCCTATGCCTGGCATAGATCATGCCCTTGCAGTCTCACTACTCAATTCTCTTCCATAGAGGAGTTGCATCACTTTGTTTATGCAGCCTTAGCCATACCTCTGCAAGCTGTGACTCACACAGCCAACAGGAACAATCATTTTCAATCAGATCTTACAGCACAGTGTCTTTACTTTTAGAAGTTCTTATCTACCGCTCTGCTAATTGAACTTTAGTCACACACCTTGAGGCTCTTGCAGGCTATTAACAGAGCAAGTGAAAATAAATTCTGAATGAAACACACTGTGTAATAAAGGAACTTTAGATCTTTCTTTACAGTAAGTGTGCAGAGAGGAGGGAAGTGTGACTAGGGCTGCATAAACAAAGTCTTTGAATTTCTAAATGGCAGAGAATTAAGTAGTGAGACTGCAGGTGACATGATATATGTCCAAAACAATTAAACTTGAGTTGTTTTGGTACTTTGCAGTGTTTTTTTGTGTATTTTGAACACAATGGCCAATATTTTAAGTTAATGCTTATTCCTGTTGCATTGTGCATGTAACTATTTCTGTCTCTTTTTTAAGTTTGATGATTTCTCAAGGGATCTCTGCATCCAGTCTGTGCTGGAAATTATGGACATGTTCTGTGACAACCTCAGGTAAGGTGTCTTTGCTCGGTGCTTTCTCTGTTCTACTCTAGAATGCTTTCCCCACATTTATTAACATTGTCTCTCTACCTTTACAGTTGTCATGGTAAGGCTGAGGAGTGCATTAGCCTTTGTCGGTCCCTTATGTGTGTCCTAAACTGGCTCCTACGTTGTGCTACATTTTACACAGACAAACTAGTGGAGACACTAGATCCAGTGGAAGGTGAAGGCAACTTGTCCATGTGCCTGAAACGGCTGGAGTCCATCCTCAGTAGTACCAAAAACCGTGCTCTCATCCATATTGCCAAATTGGAAGAAGCAAGTGAGTTTAGGGAAGGGATCAGAAGAAAGGTTGATGGATGCCAACTAATGACTGTTTCTTTAAATATGCAGTATATATTTTAAAATACAGATATACATAATGATATGGCTAATCTATATAGTATATATCTTCATTTGTTTGTTCATCTGAACTCCTTGAGATTTATTCACTGAATCCAAAACTTAAATTGAGTGGAGTCGCCAGATAATTAAAGGGACACTATAGTCACCAGAACAACTACAGCTTACCCTATTTGTTCTGGTGAGTAGAATCATTCCCTTCAGGCTTTTTGCAGTAAACACTATATTTTCTGAGAAAATGCAATATTTACATTACAGCCTAGGGATAACTCCACTGGCCACTCCTCAGTTGGCTGCTAGAAGTGCATCCTGGGGCAGTGCTGCACACTGACATTCAGTGTCTCCACCTTCTGCATGGAGACACTCAACCTTCCTCATAGAGATGCATTGAATCAATGCATATCAATGATGAGATGCTGATTGGCCAGGGCTGTGTTTGGCTTGTGCTGACTCTGCTCCTGATCTGCCTCATTGACAAGCTGAGACAATCCACTGCTTTTCTATGGGAAAGCATTGTGATTGGCTCAGATCAACACTTCTGATGATGTCAACCAAGCAGGCAGATCGGGGCCAAAAGCTACAAGCAGCAGACTGAAATAAATGTAAGATTTTGCTGTATTTACTGGGGCAAGGTGGGGGGAGGGGGCAGGAGGGCTAGATGGTGGTTTTAACACTATAGGATCAGGAATACATGTTTGATCCTTTAATCTTGGAGGAAACATCAGTGAGACAAACAAAACAAAAATTAAATAAATACAAAAACTTACCTCTATTCCAATGTGAAGTCCAGGAGGGAGGACAGGGCTCAACTGATGGGTTGGGTGATGCTATTTTCTGTCTGGTTGTTTCAGACACCAATTTTGCACTTAATTGACATTATCCATCATGGAACTTTGTTCTGGGCTGACTAATGTCGCTGTCAGGGGTAAATTTACACCTACTGCAGCTAACGGGTTAATGTCTGTATGTGCAGAGTTTCACAGTGAAATGCTGCACATACAGACTTCAGGCACCATGACCGGTTTAAATAAATGAAGTGATCATGGTACTTGAAGTAAACCTCTAACCTGTGTTTTAGTGTCTTTATTCAAGTGTTAAAGTACCAAGAATTTTTGAGCACCATTTGTGATGGATGTTAGTACCTGGACATGGTTATTATTATATTCCCCTTCTTTCTACATACAGGATCCAGCACACTCACTCACCCACTAAACAGCAACTTAACAGATCACCAAATTAATTATTTATTTTAAACACCTGACTTAAGCAAAAACAATGGGGTTTTAGTTCAATATATGACCATTTATTGCATAGCCTGCCACAGCTACCAAACCTAATGCCTGCTCTTATGAGATTAAGCTACTTTCTTGGGAAATCCTTCCTCCTGGGACTCTCGGCAGGTCAAGGTTAAATAGGGCCCCAAAATGAGGCACCTGTGACGTCCCTTCTTTCCAGACAGTAGCTGTTATTAAATAAAAAAATACTTTTTTTCCCCCTTGTATAACGTGCTTTTAAAATAGTTCAATTCACTAATATGTAAAAACATATAGAAGGCTATTGGGATATTAGTTGCTAATGTACAGAAGTGAATTGAAGATGACTGAATTGAAGATCATGTTTATAGGCTTCTGACCAATAAAACCTCTTTTTTTGTTATTGCTTGAGAATATTATAATTCAGTAGATAAAGCCCATTTTTATTCTAAGCGTTTCAAGCTCTTTGAATTTGCCTTTCTCGTACAATAAGAGTAATGAAAATATGTATATCTGGTTGTTGTGATTTCTCATTGTGGCTAACGATCATGAGAGTTGTGTTTTGAGTGCGTTGGAGAGCACCGCGATGTGCTACTCCTGCTGTATTACAGCTATTTATCCCATTTTCCTTAAACCAGCAAAACTTTTTGCTGCCCACCCAACTGCATGACGCTATGTTCCAGGGCTTGTGTCTTTTAACAGTACTGGTATGTTTCATACCTTTTATTGATGTTTCTGTTATCTCGCTCCTCTTCTCATTTGGATTTTAAATAACTGTTGGATGCCACTGAATACAGCAGAGTTCTAGTGCCAAGTCCTTGAGGGCATTAAAAAGGCTCAGAAAGACAGAAAAATTGCCCAAAGTCTCCTTAACACCATTTGAGTGCCTGGTCCAATTTGTCTGCTATTGAATGATGGTTGTGCTCCGAACTGTTAGCACTGGGTGGTTGCTGAATTAATATGTGGTGTTTATTGACTCTTATTTTCATGTCCTGTTTTGCAGCCTCCTGGGTGTCAGTAGAACAGTCTCTGCACAGGCTCACTGACAGTATTAGTCGCCTTCCTATTGTACAACTGAGGAAGCAGGCGGAGACTTGTGTGTCTCTTATCAGGAGGTAGGAGGAGTGTAAAGAGCAGAATGTTTTTTGATAATTGTGTAGAGATAATGATAAGATTAGAGTCACAACTTCATAAAACTTCACAGAGCAGCTGTGTGTGTGTGTTTTATTCTACGACACTGTTAGCTGCTATGCTTCCCGTGAATGATGTGTGCCGTGTATTTTTGTCTTCTTGTACTGTACTGTTTTCACATTGTTGTGTAATTGTGTCAAGGCCTTTACATCGCATTAATTGTGTTTGTGGGTGAGTGTGGTGTGGCACTGTCCTGCAAATTGTTTTTAATTTAATGCTTTTGTGGTGTCTCTTCATACTAATACTCCATTTGGACATAAACTAGGACATTTTCAGGAATCACAGGTGATAAAACAACTGAAAACAATTTTAGGGTGTCTGTAGCAGCAAGGTAAAATATCCTCTAATTCGTGGGTTTGTTTAACAGCAGACAGCTAGGAGGGGGCATTATGCTCCCTTATTCCGATAATATAATTAGCAAGGCACATTTTCAACTATTGTAGTGAAGGTTGAAAGGAAACTATATGTCACTTTCCTTTCCTCCATACAGTATCCCGTCAATGCTTTCGGCCCACTCGGATCAGTTGCACAGGACGGGATTCCCCACAGTCCATGCTGTTGTAATGCTGGAAGGGACTATGAATCTAACGATGGACTCACAACCACTGGTGGAGCAGCTGAGCACAGTGAAGAGGATGCAGGTGAAAAAAAACCTTTCTAAGAGCCAAACTAATTCCTGCACTAATCAGATTACAAATATGTTTGTTTTTTTTTTTTGCTTGTTTGTTTTTTTTTTTTAATCGTTCGTTTGCTACTTCCACAGAGGATCCCCTCTCACCTCTTTCTCTTGGAGATCTGGAAAGCCTGTGTCGTGGGTCTCATAGAGTCTCCGGAAGGGACAGATGAGTTGAAATGGACTGCATTCACCTTTCTGAAGGTACGGCCTAAAATGTGAAACACATTATCTAAATGGTTACGATATGTGTCCTGAATTGGCAGAACTCCGCCGTAGCAAATATTAGCAGCTTAATATGAAAAGCACTCACAGTCAATCTGCCTGCCACCCATCGCACAGAGATGTAAACAAATCACCTTGCACTAAAATATAAATAAATACAAGCAATCATGAAAAAAACTAGAAACATCAAGAAACATAGAATAGAAGATTAGTCTGACTCCACTGCAATTTATTCAAACTGAAAGTAATCCGTGATGGCAATGTAGTGCCCACTAATTGTACTATACTGGTCTATACCACCTCTGCTGGAAGAATATTCCATGTAACTATAAAATTTTTATTCAAACTGTATTTTCTGACTTTGCTGCTATTTTTCCATATTTTTAAAACTGTAGGTTCTGCCCTCTTGTTAGAGATATGTTTTTCTATGAAAAACTGTTTATTGCTTTGCATTCACAGATTCCGCAGGTTTTGGTGAAGTTGAAGAAATTCTGGCAGGTGGATCAGGTGCGTTGCTCCCTGGTACTTTTTTTTTTCTTTTTTTTTAAATCCCGCTTCATGTCTTGTAATGTAATAGTATAGTAAACCTAATATTTCTTGCAGGATTTCAATGAAGACATGAATTGTGCATTTGAATATCTTCTTAAACTTACCCCACTCTTGGATAAAGCTGACCAGAGATGCAAGTAGGTCCATCTGAAAATGTCTAACAAATATAAACTGTGCCAATAATCCCCCGTATTGCCTTTCTCTACACTTTGTTTACTAAATATCTAAATATCTTAACATCTTCTCCTCTCTCTGACAGCTGCGACTGCATCAGTCTGTTACTACAAGAATGCAATAAGTTGGGTTTGTTGTCCGATCCGAACCTGGATAACCTTGCATCAAAAAGGTACACGGGTTCTGCCTCTCACTCTGCCAAGAGCAAGTTATTTTTTCAGTCATATGAAAGCAAATGTTGAACTGTTTTTCATCCCTTTAGGGCTGCAGACAGGGAGCAGGCTCCACGTTTGAAGTCATCTGAAAACTCTACGATTCAACCCAATCCTGGTCTGATTCTCCGTGCAGAACCCACTGTGACCAACATCTTAAAGGTTAGACCCCTGGTGGGCTTCGGTTTAACATTGACAAGTGATAGCACAATTAACAAACTACTAACAACTATTTGTGTGTATCCTGAAGTTAATTAACAACAGCTGGTTCATGGCAACCACTAACACTGGGTCTCATTATGTAATACTTATATATTTTCCTTGCTATATATGGAAAACCATTTTTTTTGTTTGTGATGTTTTTTTATTCCCTAGACTATGGATGCCGACCACTCCAAATCTCCAGAAGGACTTTTAGGAGTATTAGGTCACATGCTGACTGGGAAAAGTCTGGACCTCTTGCTAGCTGCTGCGGCTGCCACCGGAAAATTAAAATCCTTTGCTCGTAAATTCATTCAGTGAGTACATTGTGTGTAACACGCACCTTGAAATTTGTGACCGTGTCAATCTTTAAAATGTGGAAGCAGAAGTTATTCATCATTAATCATCATTAACATATGCGGAATTAATCAGCCCTATATGTGAGAGGTGGAAATGAGGTAGAGGGCTCTCGAAGGTCTTCAGCTGGGAGAAATATTTGAGGAGGCTTGTTCTTGGTAAAGAATAATATAGAAATAGAAATTAAATGAACACTGATAGCATTAGAAATCTAAACATTTATTCATAACGCTAGAGTGTTATAGTAACATTATAGATTGACGGGCCCCACTAAATGAAATAAAGAGTTTTAGTTGGCTTATTTTATTGCCTCCACTTGCTGAGATCATCAGTACTGATCTAAGCTAATGCTTCCCCTTGGGCTAGTTTGCATGTTTGGGAAATGGGTACCCTGCACCAATCAGCATCTCCTCATAGTAATGCATTGATTCAGTGCATCTCTATGGGTAGCATTCAACGTCTCGCAGAGCGCAGAGATACTGAATGTCCGCCCTGCTATCTCTGCTGATCCGAGTCCCTCTAGTGGCTGTCAGAAAGGTCTTGTGGATGGATCTTCTCAGGTTTTTTCACAAATACAGAAAAACCAAAAGGTTTTTCACTCAATGCAAATGTAATATCCCCTTGAAAGTTTGGTGTTGAGTAGAATATTATAGAATGCCATTTAAATAGTAAGATTCAGATAAACCCGATCCTGCAGTTTGTGAATATGTAGTTAATGGAACTTGGTGGCATGTGCTTACTATTAGAGCTTCTCTGCTGGAAATTATTTCAGAAACTCTGCTGTACAATAAAAGATGGTGACTTCTCTGCACTTAGTCCATTTCTCTGTGTTTCTTTTTCTGTAGATTGAATGAATTCACGCGCCATATTGGAGCAGAGAGCAGTAAGTGTGTTAATAACTCTTTCAATACCTGCTTTAATTAAATGTGTTTGCAGAGCCATCAACATCTTACCTCGCAATGGCTTGCACTGTCCTAGACCTGTCACTACTCCCTTGCGTTCTCAAGCTGTTTATTTATTTATTAGTAGCATTACAAACAGATCGCTGAAACTACTCTTCTCCCCTCTCTTTATAGCAAAGACTGCATCAGTTCGGGCTCTGCTGTTTGATATTTCTTTCCTGATGTTGTGCCATGTAGCACAGACCTATGGTTCAGAGGTATGTCAGCAAAGGGCATTGAAATCTACAACCCTCTTTATTTCTCCCTTTGTTTTTGTATGCCTCAAAATACATCAACCCCCATCGTGAGATAGCTCAGCGGCGGGCTTATGCATCATCACTAGAATCTGTTCAACCCTTGGGGGTTGCAGGTTCAAATCCCAGCAGGTTGACTTAGCCCTTCATACTCCCCAGCAGGGACGTATTAGCCGCAAGGCAAACAAGGAATTTGCCTTGGGCGGCATTTTTCAGTGGGCGGCAAAAAACGCCGCCCCCCCAAATGCCCAGGGCAAATGCCTAGTTACCCTCGCGGCTAACAGACATGCTGGGCTGGCGGCTGGCGAGGGAGCACTTCCTCTGAGCGGTCTGCTCAGCTCCCTCGCGCGCCGCAGAGTAAGGTTGGGAGCCGGGTTGATGATGTCATACTCCGGCTCCCAGCCTCACTCTGCGGCGCGCGAGGGAGCTGAGCATAGTGCTCAGAGGAAGTGCTCCCTCGCCAGCCGCCAGCCCATCAGCCCGACCGGCAGCCACTGGACCACCAGGGAGAAAGAGGAACCCACCCTCACCCCCAGCATTCCCAAAGGTAAGGGGGGGTTAAAAAAAAAAAAAAAAAAGGTGTTAATGTGAGTGATTGTGTGTGTGTGTGTCTGACTGTGTGTGTGTGTTTGTGTCTGACTGTGTGTGTGTGTGTGTGTGTGTCTGACTGTTTGTGTGTGTGTATTTAGAAGGTGGGGTGGGGGGGAAGGGTTGGGTGGGGGTGGGGGTGGCGCGGGGGGAGGGGGTGCCTGAGTTTTGTCCTGCCTAGGGCAGCACAAAACCAGGATACACCACTGCTCCCTAGGTAGATAAAACGAGTACCATTACATTGAGTAATACTAACATCCCCTGGATGTTGGGCAAAGGTACTTGGAAACCAGAGCAATCTGATTCCTGGCTAAATACTGCGTTATTATTATCGTAACAAATTCCATAACCACTAGCACAAGCATATCAGCAAAAGGATAGCAAAAATAGAAATTCCCCCACATACATGCTGTGCATTATATCTTTTATAAATCTCAGTCAGGCTCTGCCTGGTTCAAAGTTATGTCGGCAGTTCATGATATACATTATATGTATATTATAAACTGCCAGTACTATTTGGGCTTCTGCATTTTAAAATACTTTTTGATTATATGTAATGTGTACTGTATATTTCTGGCCACCAGATGGAGTAATAAGTCAAAGATAATTTCCAATCTCTAGCTTAAAATGCAGCTCCTTGCAGACTTGACCTAAATTACTTAAAAAAACAAAAAAAACAGCCTTGGAGATCCCACTGTCAATTTTTGTCATGATGTTTAGACGTCGGATGTTGATATTTTATTTGTTTGTTTAGTTCCTTTTCTTTCCTCCCCTGTCTCTTAAATGCTATCTTTGAAATTGTGTAGTTTGTTTTTATTTATTTATTTTTACATTATTTTCCATCTTGTTTATTTATATGCCAGTCCATAAGTGCACATTGGCTCCTTTAGGCAGTGTGATGCGCCGGAAATATTAGATAGAGCCTAAAACAGCTCCTGTATGGATATCTAAGTTGACATGTTGGAGGGGGAACTGGACAGACCTGTCTTACTTGGTGCTGTGTTTTTTGCAGATGATCCTCTCAGAGGGATGTGCAGGGTCAGAGATGCCTTTCTTCGAGAGCTGGATGCAGACCTGCATGCCAGGGGAGGGGAAGGTCCTCAATCCAGATCACCCCTGTTTCCGTCATCCAGACCTCCCTAAGGTGGAAGCACTGGTTGCCCAACTTAATACTTCCTCTGAGATGAGGCTGGGGTATGTAATTAATATGATGTTTGAGAAGTGTAATAGCATTCTCTTCGTGTCTAGAAATGTGATAATGTGATTATGTTTTGTACTGCACTTCATTAGCTATTGAACCATTAAGACCTCTAGATGACAAATGTGATTTCATGCAGGATAAGGACAGCTTTTTATCATTCAATTAAATATGGATTGTTAAAGGGACATTCACTCTAAACACCATAACAACGTATGCTCATTGCGTGAGATATGGTTTAAGATCATCCACTGTCCCTGTCTCCTTTCCTACAATTGCTTTATAACTGTAGCAATTTGCAAAAAATGCTGTAACTGTTTATCCTGCCACTTTCTCCATAGACATTAGAGGGCAAAGCTATACTTTTGTACTTACAAAATATTGATTCGGTCTGAATGTATGCTTTCAAGTCCCCACCTCTCCATATCAATTGTGGCTGGAGAGCCCAAATGCTGTGGCAAGTCCCCTTTATAAAACTTTAAATCTAATTGTCATTAAATTACTAGCAGCTATTGTATGACAGCCATCCACTTATTTAGCATTTCCTGAATAGCAGAGCCTCTTCCTAGTCTGGGCCGAGCTCACTGCTCTTTACATGTGGAATTGCAGGAACTTTAAAGAGGAGTATTTTTTATTTTTTTTTGTAACACATTATCTATACAGTTGGAATCCCTTAAAAGAGGAACTGATGGCTGGTGTAACATTTTTTCCAAGTGTACTTCTTTTGCTGTTTACTCCCACGTTCTGTTGGTATCTGAAACCCCATAAACATGTACAGTGTGGAATGATAAGCACAACTCTTAGCATAGCTTACCTGCTTGTACATACTTTAATTTGGGAGTATATGAAGAAACAAAATATTACACAAGCCCTAACAGATTCTTCTTTTCAACTTGTGTGCATGAAATGTTGTTTTATCACATGAGAGTGTACTCCAAAGCCCGTATAGTATTCTTGGGACAAATGTACATGGATAAAAATTTTAATTAAAGGTACATTATAGTCACCAGAACAACTGCAGCTTATTGTATTTGGGCTTTGGGCTTTTTTGCTGTTAACACTGTATTTTCAGAGAAAAGGAAGTGTTTACATTACAGCCTATGGTTACCTCCACTGGCCACTCCTCCAATGGCTACTAGAGGTGCTTCCTAAGGCAGTGCTGCACACTGAACTTTCCTTATAGAGATGCATTGATTCAGTGCCGCTCTATGAGGAGATGCTGATTGGCCAGGACTGTGTTTGGCTTGTGCTGGCTCTGCCCCTGATCTGCCTCCTTGACAAATTCAGCCAATCCAATGCTTTCTCATGTGATTGGCTGAGAACTCCGCTTCTGATTATGTCAGCCAAGCAGGCATATCAGGGGCAGAGCCAGCACCAGCAGACTGGAATAAAAGGTAAGATTTTACCATATTAAGGGGGGAAGTGGGGCTAGGTGGTCTTTTTAACACTTTAGTGTCAGGAATACATTTGTGTTTCTGACCTTTTAGTGTTCCTTTAAACAACTTTTTGTGTACTGTATTGTTATTATTTAAACACAGATTAATATCCACCTGTATCATCTTGTCTGTTGTGCAGTCAAACTAAATGGCACGAGGTGTGTTTGATTATCCCTGCTACAATCCTTGAGGTTCATAATGCCTGGGAGAATGGAGTCCTCTCATTTGAAGCTATCCAGGTAAATAGCATTTATTTTATCTTTGTTAAGTCACTGACTTTTTATCACATAACATGAAAACACCAACCTCTTGCCTCCTCTAAATACACAGAAATCGGAACATATAACCCCCCCCTTTCATTCTCAGGACACATACATCTGATTTTCTCCTAATACACAGAAATCAAGACACATACCTCTCACCTCCACCGAATATACAGACATCAGGACACATAGCTTTTATCTTCTCTTAATACACATACATCAGGACACATAGCTTTTACTTCCTCTTAATACATGTATATATGGATACATATCACTTATTTCTTCCTTGCACACAAACCCCAGAGCACACATCTCTCTGTGCCTGATTTAAAAAACACTCACAAACAGCGGCTCTTTCATTTTCCTTGTTTCCTTGTTTTGACAGAAGATCACCGATAACATAAAAGGGAAGGTGTGTAGCCTGGCAGTGTGTGCTGTGGCCTGGCTCGTTGCTCATGTTAGGATGCTGGGACTAGATGAACGCGATAAATCTCTGCAGATGATCAGACAGTTGGGTTCACCAATGTTTGGGGACAATACATTGCAGTTCTACAGCGAGAGGTCAGTCATATCAGTTTTATATTACATTTCTTTATTAACTACTGATTAGTAAAAGTCAGATTACCTTATTGTATCATAATTCCATTTTCATGTTAGTCTGTACATTTAATTTTCCTTTATATTTGCATCATATTCCCTCCGTGATAATTTTCCGAATTTTTGTGTCCCCCCTCTTATGATCTCTACGTAAACCTTTATTGCTATTCCCATCGAATGTAAGCTCGTTTGAGCAGGGCCCTCTTCAGCCTATCATTTCTGTAAGTTTTCTTGTAATTGTCCTATTTATAGTTAAATCCCCCCTCTAATAATACTGTAAAGCGCTACGGAATCTGTTGGTGCTGTATAAATGGCAATAATAATATTAATGATATACACTTATCAAATTTTTTCCCAAAAGTATTACATTAATGACCAATTCGTTTTCTATTCCTTTTAATTTGGTCTCATTGCCGATGTAACTGTTTGTCTATTCATGCACCAATTACAAGATCATCTCAATTTCTCCTCTGTCACTGGCATAGGGTTGTCATAATGAGTTCTATCTTGGAGAATATGTGCTCCGAGGTTCTCCAACAGACCGCCACTCCCATCAAATTCACTGTGACTGGCAGTGAACCAGTGCCTTATGTCCACCGTCTACCTCCAAAGAAACCCATCAAGGAAGTCCTGAGGGCGACCTTCAGTGCAACTCTAGAGAAAGGATGGGTGGACAGTCGTGCTCTGCACATTTTCGACACACTTCTCCACATGGGCGGTGTCTATTGGTTCTGCAATAATTTGGTGAAGGTAAGATGGTATAAAAGCCTTATGATCTGATAGGATAAAGACTGTTTCATAGCCGTGCACAAAATTTTTAATGGCACTACAGGTGCTCCTTGTTTTGCAACCTACCTGTTTTACGATGGCTCACACTTATGACCAGCTCTCTCCCGGGGTGGTAAGTGCGAGATGTCGTTGGAATTAGATGGATTCCCCGATCACAGATAAATGCAACAGAGCAGAGAAACCCTCTAATCTATTTTCGGGGAAATTTCCCCGAGCATAGATTAGAGGGATTCCCTGATCTTGTGCGTTTATCTGTGTTCGGGGAAATGTCCCTGAACACAGACATGCGCACCAGAGCAGGGAATCCCTTAAATCTATGTTCGGGGAAATTTGCACAAACGTAGATTAGAGGGATTCCCTCCTCTGGTGCGTTCGTCTATGTCCGGGGAAATTTCCCCGGCATAGACAAACGCACCAGAGCAGGGAATCCCTTAACTCCTAATTACCGGCCAATTCGTTCTACGACCGGGTCGTAGGAACGGAACCTGGTCGGTAAGTGAGGAGTAGCTGTATTTCAGTTTCTGGGATACAATCACAAAAATGTTGTCCATGATTGGATCCTCAAAAATAATCAAAGTGAACATTTAAGTTTCAACATATCGTAAGCAATGAATATTTGCCATCAAATAAAAAGTTCTATAATGTAACAATGTAACACAGCCTTCTATAGAAACACTTTCTCCAAAAAAGGTGCACTTGCATGACTCCTAGATGTTATTTGTTGTACTACTTACAGTGTGGATAATAAAAGAATGAGATCCTGCAAATAAAAGCTATGTAGTTAATACGTTGAAGGCAGTATGGATTTCCCGAGAAACTTATGATTCTCACAACCTCACTGATCACACGTGACTGTAATTTTAGACTGACTTTTCAGAAAAATGGCAGGGTCAGGAGTGGTGATCAGCAATAATGATAATCAACCCCTCTTCCTGTGTGTCCAACTTGTCTGGTTAAAACAACATGTTTGTTCGTCCACCCACTGTAAAGCACTGCGGAATTTGTTGGCGCTATATAAATAATAACATAATAATAATTCTGGACGGCCAGCAGTGGATAGTTAGAAAATTTGCGATTGCTTATTTAGATTTTATGTGAAAAATAGACTTTATGACCTAGAATAAAGATAATTTCCTATTTATAAGAGGTCCGGCACCTTCAAGTGCTGTGAACGGACTGTGTGTGTATATATATCACTGTCGTTTTAATAGAGAAAATTACAGCCATAATCTACTCATCGTGAATATTTAGTTTAGGGCTTGACATATATGTTCTTTTGGCAGGAGTTACTGAGGGAAACGCGAATGGAATTTGCTTTGCGAGCGGTGGAGTTGCTCTATGCAATCTTCTGCTTGGACATGACACAACTAACACTAACTCTTTTGGGACATGTGCTACCGGCCCTGCTCACAGACTCCGCCAAATGGCACATGTTAATGGACCCACCAGGCCGAGCACTGGCAAAGTAAGACTTTTACCCCGATGTGATATGTGTGTTGTTGTTTTCCACTGATTCCATTCCTAGTGGTTACACGTTGTGGGTTCTTCTCTGTATATAATAATAAGACCATTTTCTCCTGTGCACAGATTGTCCGTTTGGTGTGCAATGACTTCTTTCTCCACACACAACAGGGGACAGCCTTCCCCCCGACAGAGGAAAAGACACAGAGAGGACATTGAGGTAGGTGTGGAGGGTTGGAGGGTAGATGTTGATATTAAAGAGAAACTCACATTAGAGTAGCATGTTCTTTAATGTACAAATAATTATAATTTGGGATTGATGATTTTTGTTTTATAAACCGTTTTTCTTTTATTTATCCTAAAAATCTCCACTAAAGAGATAAACGGCGTGCTAAGGAACCTATATTCAGGAATGACCCAAACAAACTCATTTATTCAAAACACAAGTCTAATATGCCAGCAAAAAAAAGGAGAAAAGGTTGGGGTCCAGACACTCAAGGGTTAATTTTGCAGCAGATTTTTTTCTACTAATACGTTGGAGATAGCCAGCCCCAGGTCTGGTAGCACCAGGACTCCAGCAAGAGTGCGGTATTCCTTCTTTCTTGTTAATATGCTAGTAAGGCATATAAGACGCAAATACGTCCCTTACAATAAAAAAGAAAATGACAAACAACTTTATTGTAAAACAGAAAAACAAGTACAAGGGATACATTCCTGGTTACACAGTTAAAGAAGCCTGGGGCTTAAAGCTAGTGAGGGGAAACAAAACCCTAATATACCTATTAAATACCAATAAAACTCCCGTGAACGGGAGAAAACTGTCTAGTTAGTGGCAAAGCTGTTCTGGCTTAATTGAGCATTAATGAAAAATGAATCTTGGCGTGCGTTCTGAAGGCTTGCATGCGGATATAGGAAATGAAATGCCTGGTGCAAGCAGTACCAACAAACAGAAAATGAATAGTCTCCAGGCTCGGTTTGTCTTACCTACTCTGCACAATTCACACTGATAACGGCTTCTCTAGTGTTGACTGTACTAAATAAAAGAGGAACTGAGTATGTGAGATCTCGCCTACAGAAGCACACTCCACAGGGGAAGTTAGTTGAAAAGACAAAACTTGGAAACTTAATAGGAAAGTGTAATCACTTCTCATTTTTAGCATTCTAGCTTTCTAGGAATGGCAGCGGGAAACAAGATTTTACCATTTACAGAACTGAACCCATAATAGATATGTGACATATTTAGGATTGGTAGTTGTTAAAATAAAACAAAATGTCTCCTTTTCATCACTAGGGCCACAAAAAAAAAAAAAAGTAAGATTTTCTATAGAGTTAAGGAAAGTACACTGTAATGATGCATAATTTGTTCTGTAAGATGTGTGTAATGTGCATGTGTCCTCTCCTTAGCCCATTTTTTTCTATTATTTATTGAAGAATATCAGGAATAAATCAGAGGAAGCTAACTTGCTTTTGAGTAATCGTTTCTATGAAATGGCCTTAATCGTGTATATATAGCAATAAAGAGGGGAATTTTATAGACAGAATTGTCTATTAAACATTTCTCAAAATATCAGGATGCCTAAAGGGGTTAAAACATGCAGACACGTCTTTATATGACTTGAAAGAACACCACACACACCTAAACATTTAATGTGTGAAAAGGTGTGTTTTTCCCTTCTTTTTTTTTTCTTCTCATTAAACAAAACTTTTAGATTTCAATAGAAATTGGCATTCTTTAAAAAAATAAAAATAAATAAATAAATAAAATATTAACTTTGTTACACCCTCTAGGCTGTCAATCAGACGACTGGTCCTGTTACTTCCTGGTAGTTTACAGTTTAGTTTAAAGGCGCTAAACTCAAGGGACAGGCAATTGCTCAGAGCACCTGCCTGGCAAAACCACGTTTGTAAATCTGTGATTGGAGAGCTACAGAAAGTCTGCACTGGGTTAGGAGAAGACTGTTTGCATATAAGAGATCTCCAGCTTTTGCACGCTGTCTTTAGATAAACCATCGAATAAAAAAAAATGAAAAAAGCTAAATTAAATGCAAGCATTTTTTTCTCTTCTATTTTGGCTGTGGAGAGACCCTATAACTATATATTTGATCTCACACTTAGTTGCCAAAAGTCAAGCAATAAAATAAATCCATGTCAGTAGAACAACATAATGCTGAAGGGCAACACGAACCTCTGAATCTCCAAAAGACATGAAGCAAATAACCAAAGCTGGACTTTCAGGAAGAGAAGAAGCCCAAACGAGGAATTGAAAATAGTCACTTCATTCCATTTCATGTTGTCAGGGGTGTTACCATAGTAACTGCAGCGGATGTTCTACGGTTGCTATGTGCAGAGAACAGAAAGCCCGTCTGTGGTCAGTGCAGAAGAATTGTCTGACAGGTGGGAGAAATGTTAAAATAAGTTTTTCTCTTGATCTGCTAGCACAGTGTATGTATGGAATTGTAGGGAGGATGACAATAGCCTTTAAAGGGACACTCCATACACACACAGAGCGCCAAAGCCATGCTGAAGTGCTTTATGTATCTGGAACCAGTCATATTTGTAACAGTTTGTAAAAGTGCTGATTTTAATGCAAAAAAATTTTTCAAAGCTTTTATTGGGTATATGTGCAACATACAGCAATGTAAGAAAAACTCACAACGCGCGAGTCAAACTCTTTTACAATTTGTCACGTATAATATGTCACAGGTGAACATTATACCCGTTATAATGAACTCAATACAAAAAAAAAAGTATAAAACATACCATAAAGCCAAGAAAGGGAAACAGTCAGGCAAACCATGTGTTGCATGGTATAGAAATTGTGACTTTTATTATTGGGGGCAGAAACACCTCCCTGGCTGTCAATCTCAGCAAAGCTAGATCGTGCCTGCTGCCCACCCCCCTTCTTAGTTATGTTGCGGCTCCATCACAGAGGCGTCTCAGTGAGAAATTGTGCTGAGAAAAGGGGGGAGAGCTTGAGATCTGCAGATATATCCCCAAAGCAAGCATGCAGGAATAAATGCATTCATGTTATATTTGGGGGTATATCTACTAAATTATTTTTTTTAAAGTTCCATTGGAGTGTTCCTTTAAACTTGCAGCTTGATATTATAGGGATACTACAGTGCCAGGAATACAAAGCTGTATTCCTGGCACTATCGCTCCCCCGGCCTACCGCCTCCATCGCGTCCTGTGATGAGCGGGTGCTAATGCGCATGCGCAGCAAATGCAGCATTAAGTGCAATAGGGACATTGTACCCAGACCTGGGTGCCTATAGTGTCCCTTTAATATTTACAGACAAAAGTCTAATAATGTGTACCAAGATAATTAGCGCCACCTGGTGCGCAAACTATTGCAAATACACAGTTCTATGTCCCTAGCACGGATACAATTGTTTCATGTCCTGATACAGAGAGAATGTAAGGCAGCATAAGAGAACTTTGTAACAACTAAGTGATATTCATAAACATTGTGTATTTAAGAGAGCCAGAAGAATGCTAAAACAAAAAAATTTAAGTGAAGAAATAAAGGTATAATCTTTTTTATTTTTATTTGCTGTTTTGGGCTTCTTTTCTTCCTGAAACTTCGGCTTACATCTGTCACACAAATAGGCACACAAGACCGCTTCATCTCAGTTAAATCTGGTGGCTTGCACGCGTCATTTCAGCTCTATGAAGAAAAACTTTTCAGTTTTAGAGAAACAGCAGTGTTTTTCCACCCAAGACTGACACCACCACTAGCAGCCTTCTCTTAGACTGCCACTAGATAGGGCTTCCTGGTTAGTAACCGAGTAAATATCGGCTAGTTCACGTTTGACTTCCTTACGTTCGACATCTAACGTCCTATATATTCAATGCAGGCAGCTTTTAATGTGTGCACGCCTGCATTGAATCCTTTTATTGTGGAACCCCGATAGTAAAGCATTTATCAATGCGCCGCAAATGCGCATTAGGTACCGAGTGCTCCTGTGAGGACATCACTTTTGGAGGCTGTGCCCCTCTGTGACATCGCTGAAGGAGGAGTAGTAAACAATACTAGTGGAACCTTGACACTGGATAAAGATGAGTCTAAACCATTCATTTTTATAAATTTTTAATGACGGGTGTGGGGGGCCACCTGAAAAAGACCAGGGACTGAAATACTATAACATCAGGAATACAGATTAGTATTCCTAACACTTTAGTGTTCCTTTAATAGAGCAACAGATCAGCGCCGGGTGGGGAGCTCTCCTCCTCCTCTCCTCCTTCTCGGCTGAATGCGCATGCTTTACTTGACTTTTCCTAACTATGCAGCAAGGGCAGCTTTACCTTTTATTGCCAAGATTCATATATGCCAGAATGCTTAATGCCTGTGGCATGTATTTTGATGGAAGATATGATCTTTAAATGTGCTTATCCCGAAAAGTTACTCCACAGCGAAACATTGCACATACAGACTCCCGGCACCATGGCCACCTCAAAAGTGTTGAAGTGGTTATGGTGCTTGGAGTAACCCTTTAATACTGTTGCTAAGTTATTACGATGGATGTTAGTGAGAGTTGGTCCATGCATCTGCCCCCAGTTTATCCGTCCTTTCCGATGTTTTGCTCTGTAAATTGCTTGCTTTGCTTAGCCACATCTGAATCCTTTCTTGCTTACCTGCTCCCCTCTCTGGAATGTATGAATGTTGTCCTCTGGCGTGGGTAGATGTTCTGGGATTTGCTGCTTTCCCAGTCGCCCCAAATGCATTGCTTCTTCTGGATATTAACTTGGTACCAGACATGTGCATAATATCATACATGGTTATTCTGTAAAACTTTATATATAAACCACAAAATGCAGGTAGATGTGAGACGTTTTGCATTAAAGGACCACTATAGGCACCCAGACCACTTCAGCTTAATGAGGTGGTCTGGGTGCCAGGTCCAGCTAGGTTTAACCCTTTTTTCTATAAACATAGCAGTTTCAGAGAAACTGCTATGTTTATGTTAGAGTTAATCGAGCCTCTATTGGCTGTCTCATTGACAGCTGCTAGAGTGCTTCCGCGCTTCTCACTGTGAAAATCACAGTGAGAAGACGCCATTGTCCATAGGAAAGCATTGTGAATGCTTTCCTATGGAATGGCTGAATGCACACGCAGCTCCTGCCGCGCATGCGCATTCAGCCAAAGAGGAGGAAAGCTCCCCGCCCGGCACTGGAGAAAGAGGTAAGTTTAACCCCTTCCTCTCCATCCAGCCCAGCGGGAGGGGGACCCTGAGGGTGGGGGCACCCTCAGGGCACTATAGTGCCAGGAAAACGAGTATGTTTTCCTGGCACTATAGTGGTCCTTTAAAAAGGACATTCTGGTTACGCAGACCACTTCATCTCAATGAAGTGGTCTAGGTGCAGTGTCCCTGTTTTTTAACCTGGCAATGTAAAATATTGCAGTTTTTTTTTAGAAACTAATGTTTACATTGCAGGTTTAGGTCCACCTCTAGTGACTATCAATATGACAGCCGCTGGAGATACTTCCGCTGCACTAACAAGTAAAACTCTGTCACATGATGCGGAAGCCATATAGGAAAGCATTGATTCAATGGTTTTGTATGAGGAAATTTGAATACGTTCATGTGAATAGGGCCCCAATGCTATTGGATTGGCAATGAACTTCTGGTCAAGCTCATGGTTGCTTTTTACCCCAAATGATTGAGATGCCTGAAATAACACTCTGTATTCATCTTAATTATCTGTCTTTGTTTATGGGGTGGGGGGCTTATCAGATTTTTGAAAAGTTTTTAGTCCTCAGTAGACCATCCCTGTGGCATTAGGGATACAGACATGACGTTCCACATCAATCTGATTTCTTCTGCCTTTAAATATTACATGAATCTGTAAGAGAAAAATTATTTAATCTACGCTAGTGTGAGAATACCATGAGTGCATGTATATTGTCTTCTCGGTATCACAGGGGAAAAATAAAACTGATAACCGTGAACGTGAGCCAAAGTATATTCCTATAAATAAATATATTGTCAGGTACATGACAACATAGTGCTTTTACGGACATATGATGCCATATCTTTTCTGTTTTGTCCTTTTAGGATTACAGCAGCTTGTTTCCCCTTGATGATACACAGCAATCCAAATTAATGCGTCTGCTTAGTTCCAACGAGGAGGACCATGCTGTACAACCCAATCCCAGTAAGTAAATAGACGAAAAATAAATGTATGCGGCGAGAGAGCTCTGCAGCTTCACAATGTGCTCTGTACAGTGAATAGAGAGCAAGATTAATGGCTCACTTCTTAGGAGAGCAGCTATTTGTCAAATTCAAGTTATTTTATACTGATATCATCTTCAACCATGAAGCGGCTAAGCTATCTCAGCCGATCACTGCTCTAACACTCCTACATGATGATATAGTCTCCCCTTAAGAATCAATGAGAGCCATTCATATACTATTAGGCAAATGGTGGTTCAATGCGCAAGCTTAAGTAAGCAAAACACAGAAACTGGGGCAGAGCATGTTATTACTGGATATGACCAGCCTTGACGCAGTACATGGAATAGCAATAATAGAAAGATTAAGTGTAACCAGAGACAAGCTAAGATCAGAAATACGGAGAAGCACAAGTAAAGGTCAAGGTGTATAAGCCAGATCAAAGATGTCTAAAGTGACATAGAAATAGCGCCCTCTCGGATACCAGAAGGAAAACCACAACAGGGCAACGAGGAACAGAGGAGCAGGTGTATATATAGGCACAAATCCCCTCTAAGTGGTCAGTGGCACTCCTGCAACCATGTGAGTTTGGAGTTGCAGGAATGACACATCAGAGAGTAGTTGTCAAGATTGAGAGAATATTGCACATATCAGTTATCCTTGGAGTACTTCCGGAAGGGTGGGCATAGTCCATACAGAAACGGTAGGAAAGGAATGTTTTGGCCACACCTGGTGGTTTCTTTATTTGGAGTTTAATAGAATACAAAGGGTGTAAGACAGGTAAATCCTGCTTGAGATCTTCCATCCTAGCCTGTATAGACACAATGGAGCTTCCTATATAGAGCCTGATAAAGCTCTATATTATGTTAGTTTTATGTGATTTATATTTTATATAGAGAGCACTATGTATTGTTTATATTTTTTTTGGTAGTTCAAGATCTTACTATACAGGTTCTATAAGTATACTGTGTGTGTACTTAGTGTGTTTCACGTTTTGTTACAAGTCTTTATTTGGAGTGCAGATTAAAATACAATAACGTTTTAGCTCCCCTGAGCCTTTGTCCAGTCTACATCAGAGAGAGTGTGACTTCACATTTCCTGTAGTAGCAAGGGTTTATATTTGTTTGAATAGCCTATGTAACTGTGCTGTATTGAATGATCTATTTAATCCCTAGTTGGGAGCACAGAAATTATTTGTGCAAGTGGCATTACTGTTACTTATGCTAGTTATTTGGTAGAAGTATGACGATAGTTATGTTATGCACATCCTAAATGACAAAACATGGGAAACGAATAAATAGGGGCCACTGCTGTGCTCATGTTATGCAACAAATCACTTGTGAAATGTCCTACATTTACACCAATATTATGCACAATATCTACAGCTACAATGAAATATCTGTGTTTGGAGACTGCGGCAGAAACTAAACTGAATGGGAAAATGCATCATTTTAATTATTTTCGTTGTTGACCTCGTATAAACATGAATGCTCAGAATACAGGTGCTCTGAATTAAATATAAATGAATAAATGTTTTTTGTCGAGGTAATTTGAAATGGAGGTCTGCAAAATTATCTCAAATGCATCCTGAACCTGTAAAGCACGGGAACTCGAATTTAACCCTATAACGTAAAAAAGAACATGGCAGCCATATTAATGGGGTTTATTACAACATCACATTTATTAAGAGTGGTGGAAAAAATTGGCATTATATTCATTCGTATAATTTTTTTCTAACTTAACTTTTTTTTTTTTTTTTGAAAACCCTCTTTCTAACAGCGTTGTTCCACTTCCTTCTCCCCAGCAACTCCACTCTGTGTCTTTCTTACTCATCCCACCCCGTTTTTTATTTTTTCCTTGAATTTTTTTAAATTAGTTTAAGGAGTGAATGAGTTAATGTAGGAGGTGCACAACCTTTTAAAGAGACTGTAATTCTTCCCAGGGGCCACTGCCATATGATGTCAATTAGATGTTTATACTTCAAGTAAGCTGAATCTACAACATCACACAAAAAGTAAGGACATCAGTACAATAAAAATCCATAATTTATTTCACCACTTTGGGCTGCTCAAATAACAACAAAACAAATCGGAGCCACAAACCCATAGTGCTTCCGGAGACTGAACACATAGCTCCCAAATCTGCACATTTTGTTTGTAGCAAACCTTTTCAAAACGCAAAAACAAAAGTTTGCTACAAACAAAACATGTAGACTTGTGAGCTGTCTGGTCCACTCTCCTGAGACACTCTATGTTTTTGGTTCAGATTTGTTTTATTTTTTTCAGCAGCCCTAAAGAATTAAATAAATTATGGATTTTTATTGTACTTCTGTACCTGTTTTTGGGTGAAGCTGTTGGTGTGTTGAGGATTGACCATTCTTGCAGGACGTCAGATTGTGAGTACTTCACTATTGAAGTCCTTGTTGGATTATTAGCTAAACTGTGATTTCAGCTTTGCTATTGTGAGTGCACCAGTGAATTGCTGGTACACACGCATTATTGGAAAAACCACCAGTGGAGTGAACCTTTTCTTTCTGCAACTCTTTGAATACACTGATTCTACACACAAAAAATACTTTCATATTCACAAATGCGCGCACACATGCACCGGTCAGATTTTTTAAAATCTATTATTTATATTTATATGCACAAGCATTCCACAAACATACACCCCTTGAATTAACTGGATACACACAAACTGATATTTTCAGACAAATAGAAAGGTCCCCCATTTCACACTGTAGAAACAGCAAACTATGCCTAAGCGGTCTGCTCGGTTCAACTCATTTGGTGCAGAGTTCCCGTGGAACATGTCTGCGCCGCTTGCAGGTAGTTCCGCCCCCTATTTTTTTTTTATTTAAGCGCAACTTATTTTATCATATGTATGGGCAAATAAAGGAGACAGCCTGTTATAACATAACTACTGTAACCTATACCTGCTGGATCAGTTAGGCAGAAAAATCTAGTGGTTTTCTAATGCTGTCTCCATCCATTGACTACCCTTGTCTCTGTTCTGGTGCCTGTGGGAGGAAAGCATTTGGCCCCATGTTCCCCTGATGAATTGCGTGGACTAATACCTGCTGCATCTAGAGATGCTCTATTTCTGCCACCTATCTGAGTGTCTATGCAGCAGCAGCTGATTGTACTCTGACGTCACATCGCCATTCTCCTGGCCCACACTACATGATGAGTCCCCGAGAAGCTCCTCCTTGGGCGTTCATGTAATTCAGAACATGCTCGCGGACAGTGCACGGTCTAATCGTGTTGGCGGGGCACAGGTGCTGCTAGTCAGCACTGTGGTACCTCACGAGACCCGATTACAGTGACAAAGGTTACGCCTCAGCGGCCAGTGGCCATGCATTCTAGAACAGGTGGCTGGAGGTACATCCCTAATCAATATAAGGCTCTGTTATCCCCTCCCCCCCGCACTTCCATAAAATGACTTGTACAAAGAAGAATAGCTTTCACTCCATTCAGTTCTGCAACATCCATAATAATGACCTTTGTCGTGCTTCACATACTGGACATATATTTGTCAGAGGATATAACAACCACCTGTTACGCACCAGAAGTTATAAAAAGGTTTTTGTTTTTTTTCAGGATTTCCTAAAACGTGACCCTGAAAAGTCTAATTTCTTCTTTCTCTGTAAATAATCTTCCATGACATTGCAGTTGGGCAAGTGCTTGCTGTGTCATTGAAATGTCATCATCCTTGTACTGGCGCTTTTCGTGCTCGGAGTTTGTATTTTTGCCCATTCACAGTAGCTGATCCTTTACTTCTTACTGTATGCTGGGTTACCACATTTCCTGTTCATTATTGGAATCATTCCTTTGACACCAGCAGGGAAAGCAGTGAATGTAACTCTGGAGTTTTGGAGTGAAAATGATTTCCTTTGTCATATGCAAATTGTAAAACATGTGTCACTACCAAAACATGCACAAATCCTTTGTTCACATCCACATTGACTCATACTGAAGCCTGGCTCAGGTCGTTAGGATTGTTGGATTTATTTTAATTTTATTTGCTAAACCCTGTCTAAATTTTGAATTAGAACGTTAAACACATTATGTTGCAATCTTTTTTGGAAGTTTGCATACAAGCCCTCCAAGGTCGAATGTAATGTCTCAATCCCAAATCAATATGATCTTTTTTTACTTTAAGAGATTCACATTTTGGTAATTACGAGCCAACAAAGTAGAAAAAATATACCTAGCTCAAACATAGACATCTGTGTCTGTTTATTATAAATACACAGTTCTGCATGTGAAAGGGATTTTTTCTTCTTCTTATCTTTAGTAATTTAAAGTTTAAAATACTTTTCCTGTAATTAAAGTGAACCTGGTTTCCTCAGATTTGTGGAGGTCCATTCTCCCAAAAAGTGGTATAAAAATGTAATATGTATTTGTATATGTTAATAAAAATTATTAGATATTTTACAGGTGAAAAGTATCACATCTGTAAATTAACTATTTTAGCTTGGTAGCATTTTCCGTTCACTGTTTCCTACAGGCCAAACAATCTGTGATTTTATTTGTTACCGATCATCTAACACCAAATTCTTATAGAGCATGAATTTAAAAAGAAAATGGTTTACAATCTGTCTCAAATTCGTAAAAAACTAAATGCATTATCACACCATATACCATTGTACAACTCACTGTACTATATAATGGTATCAAAATATAATGTTTTAAGATTTTAGTCTGCTTTGTAAAGTGGCTTCAGATTTGCGTCAATTAACACAGATGCATGACCTACAGCACACCTAAAACAGATTTACTCATCATCTTTATCAATTGAGTCCTGCATATTCTTCATGCTCAGTTGTCCCTAATACCATTATTCTACTGAAAAACGAGTTCAGTATGCAACTACCTATATGCTCCTTAAAAGTCTCGGCCTGCACACGCCATAATATTTCTATAAAAATACCCCCTCTGATTTCAAAATTTTATGCAAGCTAACCATTTATAATCAGTTCCAATTGAGTACTATGTGACCATATAAAACACATAAACCATGAATGAGACACAGATAAAACAACCCAATCAAGTGACACATTTTCAATTGGATGACCTTATAATGTAGGAAAAACCTCCCAAAAATGCCCTTTGGGGTAGACAGGGTTTTGTAAGGATATCACCAAAAGTGATAAGTAAAATTATTGCTTTACAACTCAAAGAGTGAGACCCAAATTAAAACCAGAAACGGTTTGCAGAAGTGAGGGTGTGCGTGACAAAGGCATTTCCTATATTTCTTACATTTTGCATTAGCAATTTTCAAAAGAAATGACAAACACTAATAATAGTGGTCACAAACCATGTACAATAAAATACACAGAATCATAAACGCAACGAACACCTCCTGAATGATCTAAATCTGTCTGGTGATGCTATGGAATACGGGTTCAATGACTCATTTATGAGGGAAAAAGTTTCAGACAGTTCATTCTCACAAACTAATACAAAAATGGGAACACCTAAAAATACAGTTTATTCTAAGCATATAAGCAGTAAAGGTGCTCTAAGGTGTGAACCTTTTTGGTTCTCGTGCTTGGGCAAAGGTGATTGTATTAATTAGAACGTTCATAAAATTGCAAACTCTGAATAAACTTTGCACGCTCTTTGAAGATCCCTGTTCCCATGGTTTCCTTTAATATAGTTACTAAAACCAATAACACAATTCGGGTATTGTTCACGAGATTTATCAATGTCCAGATTTTGCAAAGCAGCCTACCAAATTACCTTGAATGTAGTCCAGATTACACCCTTTCTGGAAGAAACCGAACCGTTTAAATTTGGAACCGATTGATGGGAATCCAGAACCAGATTAAAAGCTGGGACAACTGGGAAGGTATTGAAAGAAATAAGGTGGGCAGGAATTCTATCCCGCTGGAGATGGAGGGGTGGGGTTTACCAGCCAATGGCAAGATATCTGCCCATCTCTACCATGTATTAGTCGCGCTGAGTATATTGGTCTACATCTGGCAGCAAAAGCAGACTTGTGGCAATCATGCACAGACTGGAGGCCGCGCATGGTGCATTTGAAAGGGAGGCAGATATATAAATCCCTTACCTTTTTATCAATTGCCCTTTTCACCTTTAAATATCTTAATTGGGGTTTTTACATGTATTCATATTGAAAAATAGATAAAAGAAGTAAATTAAATATTTTGTGAAATTCTGTTCTAGGTTACCATTTATGTTGTCTATAATCTTTTTATTCAAAGGGTATTTAGTTGGGTTTTTGTCATATCTTTGTCAGCCATGATGAATATTTACTTTTCGGAGCAGCAATATGTGTATTCCTTCTATGTTGTATATGTGTGTAAAATAAAGTGATCTGTTATTTTTTTTCTTTTCACAGCAGACCGTCCTATGAATAGCTCTCTCTCGGCTTCACAGATTCACAACATTAGTTCAAAAGAGCCACTAAACAGAGTACTGGGTAAGTGCTCGGTTTTATAGTTTGTCCTGTAATAAACTTTGAACTTCTATTTTATTTTGAAGCATTAAATTGAAATTGTGAAAATAAACTTCACATGGTGATCTTGAAAGGCATGAATCATTCTAAAAATATTCGAATGGTAAATAAAAAACAAATTGGTATTTGTAATTACAATTCTTTATCAACAAGTGCGAATCCATCGAACTTTAGAGAGCCAATGTCCAAGATTCCTAGTGATCATGCAAGTGTAGTTTCCGCTGTATCAGTTGGATACTGGCTAAGAGTGCTAGGAAGAGCCATGATTTTGTCAAACTGCTCCCAAACCTTTTGATTGATAACTGGATGGGAGGGCACCCATAGACCTATAGCACCATGAACATTACAACAAGCTGTTTATTGTTGTTCTTAAAGGAACACTATAGTATTAGGAATGCAAATGTGTATTCCTAATGCTGTAGTGCTGGACTACCTGTTTAGGTGCTCTCGTCACGGCTGGCCCTGCCTCCATGGTTTAGATCATCAATCTTGATGCTCTTAGTCAGTAGAAAAGCCTTGAGAGGCTTTTACGCATGGCCCAATCAGCATCTCCTCATAGAAGAGCATTCAGTGCTAAACATAGGTCCTGCAGAGTTTGCAAGACCTAACCCAAGAAGTGCCTATAGTGGCTAACTGAGTGACTGCCACTAGAGTTGTTACTAGGCAGCAATGTAAACACTGCCTTTCCTCTGAAAAGGCAGGGTTTACATTGTTGAGTCTGCAGGGACAGGCTATAGATATCAGAAGCACTACATTAAGCTGTAGTGGGTTTAGTGTCCATAGTGTCTATGTGCACCTTTAATATTATGAACTTACTTCTACTGATAAAGCAAGTACATATATCTATATGAAGCTGTACACTTGATAGAATTCCCAACCTCTTGCCAGATTCTAATGTAATGTTAATTCAATTTCAGCAGAAAATGTAAACAAAGCAGAATTGTGCTTTTCAAGTCAAAAATACTCTATAATGTACAGAGACAAATGTTAGGAGCCTGATCTGTTGGCACCAGACCATTTATGCTGTCTGCTTATCGGAAAGATTAAGCCCTGCTTTTTTCTCCTTGTGCAGCCAAATATTGAAACATATTGAAACATAATTTATTTTCTTTTAGTAATGAAGCATCTTACCATGTTATTAAAACACTGCTCTCTGTTAGTTTTTGTTCTTGTATGATTTGACATTTTTTACTGTTATTTTATTATTTTGTCCCTTTAAATAATTTCTAGCCTTACCTACTGTTAGTTGGAAGCGCTATGTCTGATAATCCTCATAATAATGCTGTCATGAATAATAAGGAAAGAGGAACAACATTAAAAAAAAAAAAGTGGTTCTACCTTTGAAAACGTTTCTAAACAAGCTTTTTGTTAGAGGCTTAATTCCTGTGTACTTAGCACAATTCCCATCTATAATGCAAACATGCAATTGCACGAGTGAATAGTTGTATGTGTATTTTTTAATCTGTCTAATTTTGTTGTAACTGGTGCATGGCAAAGAATTTTTCTAAAGGGAATGTCGGTTATGTACATAGATACCAGGTTTACTTAAATGATAAGTAGCTGGAAATGTATTTAGAGCAGAGGTTTGGATTAACCATTCACTTCAGAGTAGTTTTTGTTAGGGAAAAAAAAAAGTTTAAGAATGTATTTGCCTAAAAAAAAACCTACAAGTACAAGATATGAACATCTGTATTCCTAATGCTATAGTGTACTCGGCTGCATTCCGAGCCTGAGGCGCATGCGCGGCTAGAGCTGAGTGGGTTAATCTTCCCTATAGGAAAGCATTGAATTATTTCAAGTTTTACTCTGTAAGGGCTACGGCAGTGGATGTCTGTTAACAATTCAGCAACATTTTATGTTTCCTACAAACTGCAATGTTTTACAATAAAGGGGCAATACCACTACACACATACCACTTCATAAAGATGAAGTGACTTGGGTGACTTTAGTAGTCCTTTAAAAGATTGAACATGGATATACCTAAAATATATATATATATTTATTTATGTGAAGTTACAATTTTATTTTCCTGGCTAACCATGGCAGCTTCATATATAAGGGGAGGGGCTAACCTACTTGCAGGCTCAGACTGGCCGTCAGGCCAACCTGGCAAATGCCCAGTGGGTCATGATGGCCATGGGCCTAGACCAACAGGGGAGATCCTAGAGCTGGCCTCGCTGTCTTCCTTCTCAAGCTGATGGGGAAATCAAAGTTCTCACTCACCAACCCATTGGCACTTCGTTGCAGAAGAGTGAGGGAAGGAGGACATAAGAAGCTGAATGTTCCTCCTGCAGGCAGTTTGGAGCGTTGCTGCGGGTTACCACAGAAACACTCTGACATAAAAACCATAAAGTAAAGATAAAATCAATACCAAATACCAGGGCGCCACAATCACTTGTATATACCAGCTTGTCTCAAAATGGAGAGGTAATGGGAGACAAAAATAGTGAAAGAAGAGGAAAAAACTGTTATTAAAATTAACCATTTATTCAAACGAATTCATATAAAAAGTGCAAAAAAAATACAATAAAAAACCAGACTAAATAGGCTCAGGACCTTTCTGGTTAGCAGCTTAAATAACAATATACACCCTGTTCCAAATTATAATGCAAATTATATTTTTCTCATTTACCTAAATAATTGATGTAAATAACAGTCAGCATAATTCTCATGTTATCTATTAACTATTAAGAGTACAATTCAAATTTTATTGAACAAACCTCCTAATGATGACAGTATTTTTTTTAAACATAAAAAACTTACAATGCACTGTTCCAAATTAATACGCACAGTAAGTTTCAAAACACTTTATAGGTTGTAAAGAACTGAAAATTGTCATTTGTTGTGTTTGCAGCATATTTACTGAAATCAAAAGCTATTTCAATCAAACTTATAGAGTTCTAACCTCAACATATGAGGAAAGGGATTTAGGGGTGATTATTTCTGATGACTTAAAGGTAGGCAGACAATGTAATAGAGCAGCAGGAAATGCTAGCAGAATGCTTGGTTGTATAGGGAGAGGTATTAGCAGTAGAAAGAGGGAAGTGCTCATGCCATTGTACAGAACACTGGTGAGACCTCACTTGGAGTATTGTACACAGTACTGGAGACCGTATCTTCAGAAGGATATTGATACCTTAGAGAGGGTTCAGAGAAGGGCTACTAAACTGGTTCATGGATTGCGGGATAAAACTTACCAGGAAAGGTTAAAGGATCTTAACATGTATAGCTTGGAGGAAAGACGAGACAGGGGGGATATGATAGAAACATTTAAATATATAAAGGGAATCAACACAGTAAAGGAGGAGACTATATTTAAAAGAAGAAAAACTACCACAACAAGAGGACATAGTCTTAAATTAGAGGGACAAAGGTTTAAAAATAATATCAGGAAGTATTACTTTACTGAGAGGGTAGTGGATGCATGGAATAGCCTTCCAGCTGAAGTGGTAGAGGTTAACACAGTAAAGGAGTTTAAGCATGCGTGGGATAGGCATAAGGCTATCCTAACTATAAGATAAGACTAGGGACTAATGAAAGTATTTAGAAAATTGGGCAGACTAGATGGGCCGAATGGTTCTTATCTGCCGTCACATTCTATGTTTCTATGTTTCTATAACAAGTTCAACAATTTAACTTTTTAAACATTTTAACAGGTCACGTTACATTTTAACATAGGACCCCTTATTTGATAGCAGCTTCACAAGTCTTGCATCCATTTATCCCCATAGCAGCCATTGATGCAGAGGTATTCTTTGCAGCATGAGACGGTGCATTGTCATGCATGAAAATGATTTTATTACAAAAAGCATAGTTCTTCCTTCTGTACCAGGGAAGAAAGTGGTCAGTCAGAAACTCCACATACTTTGCAGAAGTCATCTTTACACCTTCGGGGACCCTAAAGGGGCCGACCAGCTCTCTTCCCATGATTCTGGCCCAAAACACGACTCCACCACTGCCTTGCTGACGTCACAGCCTTGTTGGAACAGGGTGGCCGTCCACCAGCCATCCACTACTCCATCCATCGGGACCATCCAGGGTTGCACGGCACTCATCAGTGAACAGGACTGTTTGAAAATTAGTCTTCATGTATTTTTTTACCCAATGCAGGCGTTTCTGCTTGTGAGCATTGGTTAGTGGTGGCCGAATAGAAGGTTTATGCACAGTTGCAAGACTCTGGAGGACTCTACACATTGATGTCTGTGGGACTCCAGAGGCACCCGCAGCTTCAAATATCTGTTTGCTGCTATGTAATGGTATTTTAGCAGCTGCTCTCTTGATCCTATGCATGGATCTGGCAGAAATCTTCCTCAATGTACCTTTATCTGCATGAACCCGTCTGTGCTCTCAATCAGCCACAAATCTCTTAATAGTGCAATGATCACGCTTAAGTTTTCGTGAAATATCTAATGTTTTCATACCTCGTCCAACACATTGAACTATTTCACTCTTTTCGGCAGCAGAGAGATCCTTTTTCTTCCCCATATTGCATGAAAATGGTGCTCTGCTTAATTATGTGGAACACCCTCCTTTAGTAGTTTTTCCTTAAATTGGGCTCACCTGGCAATCTAATTATCACAGGTGTCCGAGATTGTTTTCAGTGATCAAAAGAGCCCTGAGACACAATGCCATCCACGAGTTAAACTGAAAAACAAAATATTTAATCTTTGTGACACTTAAATAGAATTTGCATAATAATTTGGAACAGGGTGTAAAGTGCGCAGCTGCAGATATTAAGTAAAGAGAAGTGTAGAGTACTTGGAGTGACTTTTGTAAGCCACTGACATTAACTATCCCTTCACATTACACAATAGGAGGTGTAAAAGCAGTGTATTGCATAAAAATAAGTAAGGGTGGGAAAAAAAGTATCAGGGTAACTATATGCAGAGTCACTAACACCCAATATTCCCTCACAGCATCCAGTCCTTATATGCAAAATTAAGATAAAGTGCAGAGTTGTAAAGTGCTAAATTTTTCAAGTAAATATAATAGACTGCTGATACCAAGGTACAGGGTCATAAACAGCTGGGCTCAACGCGTTTCGTCGGTCATCCGACTTCATCAGGAGCTTCTGTCTTCTGTCTTGATCTTCTCCCTTTCAAATCCGCCGGTCTTTGCATCCTATTCGGTAACCGCGCATGCGCGAACCACTTTGAACGTAACGTCATACATCATGACGCACGAACAGTGGCATCGTGCATGCCCAGCAAACCACCCTGGAACGCAACTAAACTTTTTGGGTATTTTACACATCCACATCTCTGTACTGGTGAGCACAGCACAGTTCAGAATTTACTGTGAATTTACAAAGATTCCTATACATATAAGGCTAACATAGCAATTATATGAATGAGACTTCATGTGGCGAAATTTAAAGAGGAAGAGAAAGTTTTCTCTTAAAAATATATAAAAAATGTGTAAAATTCTAAAAAAAGAAATCAATAAAGACAGAGTATGGTGATTGTATATTAACCTTCGATAGATTATTTATGGTAACTGTATTTTATACTCACACTTTCTATGTGTGTTTTAATTGTAGTAACTCCATTTTGAAGCTCCAAACAGATTAATTGAATTCCTCTCCAACATTCATTTAATATGATCTATAATCATTGACTGTAAGCTCTCTAAGATATGGAAATATTGTTAAAGCTTGTTTGTCTGAAACAATTGAAACAATCTTATACTATGTAAAAAACCTATATTGGCTCTATAATCATTGTTTATGTGGGTTATATATGAGTGAACTACCCCACATACACTACAACCATTTTTTAACCATACAAGTGTTTATTAACCTTTTTGTCCATTTTTCTTTACTGATTTCTTTTTTTAGAATTTTACAAATTTTTTTATATATTTTTTTTTTTTTCAATTTGACAATTTTTATTGTTTTATGAAGTAAAGTTTGGGGTACAGAAGAGAGCAGGGAAGGGTTACAGTTTATAGTCAACACAAATCACACACTTTCGTCCTGACAATTGCATGGTAGGCATGGTAATTACTCACAATATATACCCTTTTTTATATATATTTTTAAGAGAGAACGTTCTCTTCCTCTTTGAATTTCACCAAATGAAGTCTAATTCATATAATTGCTATGATGTTAGCATTCTATGAGTCATTAAATTTGCTTGCTCTGTGCAGAACAAATACAGGGCCTTTTTCTCATGCGAGAGCTCTTTAGCAGGGTTTTGCACATGGACGGCCCTGGAAGAGCACTGAACCAACATGCTCACTTTGAGGGGTGGGCATGCTTGTCATTTGTCATGACAAAACACTTCCCTCTGGCGCCACTCCTTGTAACTGGGTCGCTGTTATTAAAAAAATGCCTGGGCTGAATTTTTTCCCCAGTTCAGCCCTGCCCATATGCAAGTCTCATAATAACTAGCCAGGAAAGAAAAAATGCAGGAAGAATTGAATACGTTTTCTCCTGTCCGAGCTAACCATGGCTGCATCACATGAGTTAGCTCCTCCCGTATAGGTGATGCTGCAAAGAAAAATGAAAAAGTAACTTTTTTTTTTTTTTTTAAACTTGTGTCCTCTATGTGATTAGCTTGTTTAAATAATGTTTCCTGGCAATGTAAGAGAGCAAACATTGAGCCTTTTGTTAGTGTTGATAAGTGATATTGGTGAGGTATACAGACACTCCTCACTTACGGCCGGGTTCTGTTCCTGAGGAGTTAAGGGATTCCCTGCTCTGGTGCGTTCATCTATGTTCGGAGAAACTTCCCTGAACATAGACGAACGCAGCAGAGCAGGAAATCCTTCTAATCGATGTTTAAGGAAGTTTCCAGGGACATAGACAAACACACTAAAGCAGGGAATCCCCACGACGGCTCGCACTTACCCCTGGTCGGAAGTGCGAGCTGTCGCAAAACGAGGAACACCTGTACTATATTTATTAGGGACGTGCTGCTGTAACCTACCTCCTGCAATTAGTTTACTTGATTTCCTTCTGTGTTGCAGCTAATCTCTTCCTCCTGATCTCCTCCATTCTTGGCGCACGGACAGCGGGTGCCCACACACAGTTTGTGCAGTGGTTTATGGAGGAGTGTGTTGAAAGCCTGGAACAAGGAGGGAAGGGTGGTATCCTTCAGTTCATGCCCTTCAGCATGGTGAGAAACTGTATATGCTGTTTGAAAAGCCACCAATGTTTTTATAAATCATTAAAAATGTGTTACATAAAGTTACCATTTTTAAATCTGATTTTTATTAGATGCTTCGATTTAATTATCTTTTTTTCACCCTTTTTTTCCTAGGTGTCTGAATTGGTAAAGGTTTCCACCTTATCCAGTCCTAAAATTGTTCTCGCCATCACCGATCTAACTCTACCACTTGGCCGCAGAGTGGCTGCCAAAGCACTAACGGCTCTCTGATCTCATTACATTGTTCCCATCACCCACCTCGATGCCTGCCGCTGGGTGGCCAGCTGATGAATCATCAGCCTTCTTTGTAAATTTGACTAGTGACTTTACTTGTATTTTTTTATTACTTTTTTTTGTTGAATTTTTCTAACTTTTTGAAAAGAATATATATGTGAAAGTAAATAAAACGATTTGGTAATGTGGCAAAAACTTTACCCTAACTTAATAAAACAAACAAAAAACAAATACATCAAAGCAACACTATCATAATTAATCATATAACATACAATTATAGCATACATAAACGTTAAATAAAATTATGCCATTTGTAATGAATACAGAGGGGGTTTTGGCACTCACTGCAACATAGTGTAGTGGTTATGGTGCCCTGGCTCATCTCTTAGTGTAAGTTGTTTGCTAACTGTTTGATTTCTTAACTGGGGTCAGTACCTGCAGGCAGTTTGGAGCGTTGCTGCGGGTTATCACAGAAAAACTCTGACATAAAAACCATAAAGTAAAGATAAAATCGATACCAAATACCAGGGTGCCACAATCACTTGTATATACCAGCTTGTCTCAAAATGGAGAGGTAATGGGAGACAAAAATAGTGAAAGGAGAGAAAAAAACTGTTAATAAAATTAACAATTTATTCAAACTAATTCATATAAAAAGTGCAAATAATACAATCAAAAAACAGCCTAAATAGGCTCAGGACCCTTCTGGTTAGCAATATAAACAACAATATATTAGAGGTACTGACGCCAGTTAAGAAAAGTATCTGCGTGGGTCTTCCTAAATACTGCCATGAAGAGACATCAATTGCTCTGTCAGTGGTCCATGCCCTATATGGTCTGTCTTTGCTCAAAGAAGAGAGCTTTCAACTCTTAAAGCACAATAACCACTACAGATCTCCTTCAAACTGACTAATCAAATGTATGCTTTCATTTGTCCTAAATACTTTGACACCAAATGTTGCTTTACACAAATGTAAAATTGAGGCAGACTACTTCTAATATGAGAGTTGTACCCAACCACTGCTATAGATCCAGAAACTCCAACTATTCAAGTGGAAATAAATTTAAAAAAAACGCGATTGTTGCTCTCACCAAGCCCAATTAAGTAGGGGGTCTCAGGAGTCTATGTGGTTTGCAGATCTCGCCATGCTCCTCTAGTACTACCACTTGGGCATCTGCTTATACTTAAAATATTCTCTTTCCACGCCAACTCGCTGAAGGGCTAATCATGCATGCTGCACATGGTTTTGAAAGTACAACACCTTGCCAATCATGTTCATAATGTTTGATTGGCACTCATGGAGTTAATCCTGCTGTTTTGGCTGAAATTTACAGTTTTGGGCTGCAGGACTGTATATCTGAGAAGCTAAAAATAGAATATGTTGCAACTTCAAACAAAATGTTGATAACGGAGCGTTGATATTAGGGAAGTTAGATAAAATACTGTTTCTGCAGTAGTTCATTTCAACTTGTGAACTATGCTTAGTCGTCACTCTGGTGAAGCATTGTTTCCTTCCTGTGGTGTTGTAATGGTTAATGGAAACCTTCCAAAACCGGTAACAACCAAAAATGTGTTTTCAGGAAAAATACTTTGCACATTTTAAAGGGTTGTTCCAATCATCATGACCACTTTTTCTTTTAGAAGTGGCCATGGTAGTAGGATAGAACGTGAAATCCAGCAGGGTTTAAAAATGCAATAACCATTTGATTAGAAAAACGCCAAGAAAAAAAGTTACTTGCGCTCTATCCCAAATCCTATGCACATGAGGTTTTTTTAGTATTACACCAACGGCCATTAAAGTGTAAGATCACCTGCCGCATCAAGGCAAAACCTCACAGTTTAATGTAGTTCTGGTGAGTATAATCATTCCCTGCAGGTATTTTCATGTAAACACTGCCTTTTCATAGAAAAAGCAGTGTTTACATTGCCCGCTAGGGACACCTCCAAATGGCCACTGGAGGTACTTTCTGGGGCAGTGCTGCACAGTGTACATAGTGGAACTTGAGACGTTAAGTTTCCTCACAGAGATGCATTGATTCAATGCATCTTTATGAGGAGGTGCCGATTGACCAAGATGGCACTTGGCCCTGCCCACGTTCTGCCTCATTGCCTATTTCAGCCAATCGAATGCTATCTCTATGGAACATTTGTTTGGCTGTAATCCTAAATTTTGATGATGCCAGCAAGGAGGTGGGTCAGGATAGAGCCAGCGCCTGCTGGTGCTGGAAATAAGATATGGAAAAGAAAGTGTCAGCGCTGAAAAGTCTACCCCTAAATGTTGTCAAAAAGGGGAATAACATAAAAAGTGCTTGTGTACTTAAGTACAAAGTCTATTTTCAACCCTCACAGTGGTGGATATAGACTATCAAGGTATATAACCGTATCTTTGGTATTGTTGCCAAAATACAAAAAAAATATGTATCCACAGTCCAGTGTTTCGTGGTCCCTTAAAGGACCACTATAGTGCCAGGAAAACATACTCATTTTCCTGGCACTATAGTGCCCTGAGGGTGCCCCCACCCTCAGGGACCCCCTCCCGCCCGGCTCTGGAAGGGGGAAAGGTGTTTAAACTTATCTTTTTCCAGCGCTGGGCGGAGAGCTCTCCTCTTCCTCTCCGCCTCCATTACGCCCCGCCGGCTGAATGCGCACGCGCGGCAAGAGCTGCGCGCGCATTCAGCCGGTCTCATAGGAAAGCATTTACAATGCTTTCCTATGGACGCTGGCGTGCTCTCACTGTGATTTTCACAGTGAGAAGCACGCAAGCGCCTCTAGTGGCTGTGAATGAGACAGCCACTAGAGGATTAGGGGGAAGGCTTAACCCATTCATAATTATAGCAGTTTCTTTGAAACTGCTATAATTATGAAAAAATGGGTTAACCCTAGAAGGACCTGGCACCCAGACCACTTCATTAAGCTGAAGTGGTCTGGGTGCCTAGAGTGGTCCTTTAACAAACTTCTGGAATAAAAGGGAATCATGTCATGTGTCCTTAAGGGGTTAAAAGGACACTGAAAACGGGATATAATCAGACAGTTGTTTATTTCAATTTGTTAAATCCCTTGTAAAAAAATACTTGGCACATATATAAGAAAACGTGGTAAAAAAAAGTTATGATAACCACTTTAAAGTCCAGTACATGCAGACATGCAGTGTGTGGGGAAAAAGGTTTATCACGCCGTCGGAAGGTCTTTTCCTCAGGTCATCAACGCGTTTCGCCCGTACTTGGCGGGCTTTGTCAAGATAGTGAGGTGTCCTCCTGTTGTAGTATATATACCTTGTGCAATTGTAATGCCAGTCTATTTCTCTTAAAGGTACATGTGCCCTTCTGTGGCAGGACTTTTCATGTAACGACCAGCTTGAATAAATAAAATTGAAAAATTTCTTATAAAAATCTGGGTACAGATAATCAAATTTCAAATACAATATTATACAACATATTTAAAAACAATATATGAATAATACAGGTTATAACATATATAATAATGGTGAGATCGATGCATATGAGATTTTTGCATCGGTTGATGTATTTCTAAAATGTTTCGTTCTAATAGCAATCTATATGTACACAGATACAGGTGCCTCATCTCAGGATCCTATTTAAGCATTGTACTGCAGAGACCTCGAGATGGAAGGATTTCCCCAAGTGAGAAGCTCATTTAGCAGACAGAGTAGGACCTGCCAAAGATGGGGTACATTGGCGTTGTGGCAGGCTTATGCAATGTATGATCATATACTGTAACTAAACCCCCATTATATTTTTTTGCTTAGATTAGGTGTTTTTAATAAAACTGAAAATTGTTCAGCATTAAAATGACTGTTTAGTAGATAAGTGAGTGCGCTGGAATTTCATTTTTACTATCATAACTTTTTTACCACTTTTTCTTATATGTGTTTGTCAGTGAGTGAGTGTGTGTTTAGGTGACTGGTCCCCCTCCAATCACATGGGTAAGGGGTTTTTACTCACCTTTTTTCCCCCAGGCTGTGCTGGTCTCGCCGCATCTAGCCCTGCCTCCATGACTGCGATCATCAATCTTGATTATCTCAGCCAATCCAATGCTTTCCCATACGAAAGCTTTAGGAGGCTATGGCACATGTGTGGCAAAACGCCATGCTCCGCCAATCAGCATCTCCTCATAGAGATGAATTGAATAAATGCATCTCTATGGGGAACATTCAGCGCCTCTATGCAGAGCTTGGAGACGCTAAACCTAGGTGCTGCGTACTGTGCAGCACTGACCCAGGATGCACTCTAGAGGAGTCGGAGTGACTTTCCCTAGAAGTGTTACTAGGCAACAATGTAAATACCGCCTTGTCTCTGAAAAATGTGAAGTGACAGGTTATAGGTTATGGACACGAGAAAAACTACATTAAGCTGTAGTGGTTCTGGTGACTATAGTGTCCCTTTAAGAATTGTATTTTTGACATTGAAATCCTGGCTCCTAACTTTTTTTTGCTGGCTCCTAAATTCAAAGCAAATGTGTCAAGCAATTGCTTTAGACTATTGCCAGTGCATCCCGGAGGGATTTAATTCACTGGGTTCTTCATTGATTGATAACTGTTATTTTGACAAAGGTCTACCACTGGGAAGGTCCATATCCTGTTTAAAGTTTGAAGCCTTTTCTTCTTTGCTGAGACTGGTTTATATTCTGTTATGCATTATCTTAATGACTTTGTTTACTGGTTCAAGTTCAGAATGTGTTAGGTTGTAGGAGTTTTTCTGTAGTTTAGCAGATTGGTTTGGTATTCTCTTAGCAGCTGACAAGACTGGGTCCAGTGATTTTGAGCAAATCTTCACACATGTATCAGCCTTACACTTTATCCACTTCAGGAAGTAGCTTGGTGAATCAGGAGCCTTTTAGTCTTGTCTATGTCATTCAAACAGTTGGATTTGCTCCTAAAGCTAAAGCTGGGATGTATGTTGTAATGGTGACTTTAGTCCAGTTGATAAGAATCCATTATCTCTCAACCATCGATTGATTGGCTTTTCTTAGTCACCAAGCCAATCAATCGATGGTTGAGAGATAATGGATTCTTATCAACTGGACTAAAGTTTGAATGACATAGACAAGACTAAAAGGCTCCTGATTCACCAAGCTACTTCCTGAAGTGGATAAAGTGTAAGGCTGATACATGTGTGAAGATTTGCTCAAAATTACTCCGTTTGCCTGTATATTACCATCTTTTACCCTGAACTGCATCATTCCACCCTTTGTATGTATATGATTTTATGTTATTTGTTGTGTGGATAGAGAGGTTACCACACGGGTGTTTTTTGAGTGACTTGGTATCTGTTTGGGTTACACGCTGAAACTCTGTATTTGTATTTCTAATTGCTAGCAGAAAATATTAGCAATCTCAGAGAAAAAAAAAATAGCATTATTTTAAGCAAGCAAAAAAGCAACAGTAAAACTGTGTCAAATCATTATTAGGCTTATTAGCATTTGCTGGTCTCATTATGCCTATACAGGGAGTGCAGAATTATTAGGCAAGTTGTATTTTTGAGGATTAATTTTATTATTGAACAACAACCATGTTCTCAATGAACCCAAAAACTCATTAATATCAAAGCTGAATATTTTTGGAAGTAGTTTTTAGTTTGTTTTTAGTTATAGCTATGTTAGGGGGATATCTGTGTGTGCAGGTGACTATTACTGTGCATAATTATTAGGCAACTTAACAAAAAACAAATATATACCCATTTCAATTATTTATTATTACCAGTGAAACCAATGTAACTTTTCAACATTCACAAATATACATTTCTGACATTCAAAAACAAAACAAAAACAAATAAGTGACCAATATAGCCACCTTTCTTTGCAAGGACACTCAAAAGCCTGCCATCCATGGATTCTGTCAGTGTTTTGATCTGTTCACCATCAACATTGCGTGCAGCAGCAACCACAGCCTCCCAGACACTGTTCAGAGAGGTGTACTGTTTTCCCTCCTTGTAAATCTCACATTTGATGATGGACCACAGGTTCTCAATGGGGTTCAGATCAGGTGAACAAGGAGGCCATGTCATTAGATTTTCTTCTTTTATACCCTTTCTTGCCAGCCACGCTGTGGAGTACTTGGACGCGTGTGATGGAGCATTGTCCTGCATGAAAATCATGTTTTTCTTGAAGGATGCAGACTTCTTCCTGTACCACTGCTTGAAGAAGGTGTCTTCCAGGAACTGGCAGTAGGACTGGGAGTTGAGCTTGACTCCATCCTCAACCCGAAAAGGCCCCACAAGCTCATCTTTGATGATACCAGCCCAAACCAGTACTCCACCTCCACCTTGCTGGCGTCTGAGTCGGACTGGAGCTCTCTGCCCTTTACCAATCCAGCCACGGGCCCATCCATCTGGCCCATCAAGACTCACTCTCATTTCATCAGTCCATAAAACCTTAGAAAAATCAGTCTTGAGATATTTCTTGGCCCAGTCTTGACGTTTCAGCTTGTGTGTCTTGTTCAGTGGTGGTCGTCTTTCAGCCTTTTCTTACCTTGGCCATGTCTCTGAGTATTGCACACCTTGTGCTTTTGGGCACTCCAGTGATGTTGCAGCTCTGAAATATGGCCAAACTGGTGGCAAGTGGCATCGTGGCAGCTGCACACTTGACTTTTCTCAGTTCATGGGCAGTTATTTTGCGCCTTAGTTTTTCCACACGCTTCTCGCGACCCTGTTGACTATTTTGAATGAAACGCTTGATTGTTCGATGATCACGCTTCAGAAGCTTTGCAATTTTAAGAGTGCTGCATCCCTCTGCAAGATATCTCACTATTTTTGACTTTTCTGAGCCTGTCAAGTCCTTCTTTTGACCCACTTTGCCAAAGGAAAGGAAGTTGCCTAATAATTATGCACACCTGATATAGGGTGCTGATGTCATTAGACCACACCCCTTCTCATTACAGAGATGCACATCACCTAATATGCTTAATTGGTAGTAGGCTTTCGAGCCTATACAGCTTGGAGTAAGACAACATGCATAAAGAGGATGATGTGGTCAAAATACTCATTTGCCTAATAATTCTGCACTCCCTGTAGGAAGAATTTTTTGTAGACTGATGGCTTTGGCAAAAAAATTAATTCAATAAAAAAATTTTTCAAAAAGACCTAAAGGGATTCTCTAGTGCCAGGAAAACAAACCCATTTTCCTGGCAC